CTTCGTCTTTGTTTTCTTTCCCACCGTCGTAAGTGAATAAGCTGGTGGGAGCTTTACTGCCCCCTACCGGTCATAAAATAAAATAAAATAAAATAAAATAAAATAAAATAAAATAAAACATAGCATACACAAAAAGAACTCTATAAGATATATGCATATAACAGAAGAAAATCCACAAATTTGTTTTTTTTGTGTGCAATAATCAGAAAAAAAATTATTAGCTAAGTATGTAATATTGCATTTCAATTTATATATTTAATTTTTTTTTTTTTTTTTTTTTACTGAAAAGATGTTAAAAACCACCAGTGGGTCCAGAGATACATTCTAATGGCTGCATTGACAAAGATGTTCACTTCTAGTCTATGGGTCGGCATGTTTGATATATATCAACTAATAACACTTAAAGTGACACACAATGTTAATTTAGATTTTATTAATTGCTATATGTATATAACAGAGCTTTAAAATTGGACACTGTATCCTTTACTTGCTTGGATGAGCTGCTATGAATAGAAAGCATTTTGTTAGTTTTAACAAAAAACAATTTTTTGTTAAAACTAACACAGGTGCTGCTCATGTGTTCTTTAATTACATGCTTTAATGTAGAATACCACAATGGTGACAGAAAAATTTTATTCAGAACAACACAGTGTCTATTAGTTAATAAAATGTGGCTTTACAAAGAAGGCATGCCAGACTTCTTGCATTTTATTTGGAAAGAAAATATTCAAAAGCATAGATCAGTTGTTTTCCACAATTATTTGTATTGGTCTATAAAAATCCTATATATATGTATATATATATGACAAAATGTGGAACAGTTTGAGGGGTATTAATACTTTAGTAAGGAACTTGAAGTATTTTGAGAATTATTCGGCTTATTTTTCCAACTTTGAACACAAGGTGGCGGTATAATATTCAGTCATTAAACAATCAACTTCAGCTGCGTTTTATAGAAAATACTTTGTACATTTAGGGCTATGGTGTAGATTTACAGCTCTTAAAAACAGAATTACTAAATCAAATTCACTGAAACTGGGTTTCAAATGACCTGGACTTGCTGATTTATAATAGGAATGTTTTGATTATTGTTTAGTTCAACACGCAACTGTGTTTTTAAGGCAAAATAGAGATACGTTGATCAAATATAACAGATTGAGGGTTTTAAAAGTGCGGTGATAATGGTAAGACTGTGAAGAAAAACTGGTACTGCAGTAAATGAAATGAAAACTTTTAAATCAATTTAGATTAAAAAAGAATGTGAGCTTTTCCACAAGAAATGGAGCATGACTATAAACGCAAATTACTGTCTTGTTCAGGGTGAATGGAAAATGTACAAAACTTATCCACATTTTTAGACACAAAGATTTTGAAATATAAACAACACAAGCAAAACGTTTTGCAGACATCAAGATATGTGAGCTGAAAGTCATTATTTACAAATTTAGTATAAATGCGTGGTTTTGTTGTGTTCAAAGGATTCATTTATGTGGTCTTTCCGACTTATTTAAATCTTGTTCCAACTTCAGACATATTCTCCTGGTACCACATTGCTGTTCTGGGGCGGTTCTTTTCCCCTTTCAGTTTTTCTTTATCTACCAGAGACTGATAAAATCGGAAGTTATGACTGTAAAACTAACATCAGACTGTTTTTCCCAATTGTTTGACAATCTGCGTTACCATGAATGTAAATAAAATTTGCATCTATGAAATATTAAAAACTTGTTAAAGTTACAAATTTGGACTTAATTTGGAGTAACTTTATCAAAGTTATGCAGTCAACACATTATGAAATGTATTTATCTGTCTCAGATTGAGGGCAACACAACGCAGCCCAGGGAACATTAAGGGTTGGCGTAGTTGAGTTCATGGTTGCATAATGGGAACAAGCAGTTGGTAAACAAGTTTCTACACTGGAGACTCTCATTGACATCACTGAAAGGAGAAGCAAAGTGACTCAGAAAAATCTGTTTCTAGACTGTTGCAATATTCCAGAACTCTGTGAGAAAAAACCTGACAGAAGCTGCCTAAAGAGATCACTTTTCTCCTGGCGTGTCCTCATTGGCTCCCGGTCAAGTTTAGAGCGGAATTAGAAAGTCTGCGTGCAAACTTGCAGTGACCTGCTTTGAATTTACGAGCTTCACTTACTCAAAGGGAAGGCAGAACCTTCAGTTTTCAGGTGTGCAAATAGTTCACTCTTCATGGTGTCCTGCTGAGTGATGATGACGCATACTCAGTATTTTGATGTTATTGATCCCCCATTTTATATTTAAAAGCAATGTGGCGTCTTGGTCAGAAATGTTCACACTCCAGTTAAAATACTAGCTTTTTGCAAACAAAAAATACATTTATTGATGCAACGATTTACGAAAATCATGCAGGATTTAGTCATGATGGTGGTGGGTTGTTGTAAAAAAAATTAAAAAATAAAATTAATTACATCTAAATTGCCGCAACAGTATTTAATTGAACTTAAATGTCATGATAATAATACTAGATAAGTTTGCTTCTTGAAGCAACTTAATATCGTAAAATATTTATCCAGCTTATCGGCTTAGATCAGCTTTCCTGCTCCTCGAATAAGAACGTTGTGAAGCAAAAGCTACCATCCTAACTCATCAAAAATAACGAACAAACTGCTGAGACATTGCTGGTATGCAGGTCCATCTGCTGTCAGTAAAACAGCTCTTCATCGATGACTCGAAACGCCTGGTGTCACAAAAGAGTTTATTGAAAATGAATTGGTGCTAAAGAATTAATGAAAAGTTGGAATGGTTTAGATTTCTAATGATCAGAAAGATGATGCATTTTACTCTGTCAAATAAGAACAAAAAATAAAAAATAAAAATGAAAATAGGGCAAGGTTCACATTCAAATGGGTGTGTGTGGATGAAAAAATAAAGTTCTCCCTGCCAGATCCCTGTGTCCCACTAACCTTTAAGTGACGCAGTTATCCTAATAGAGGAGCAGTGTTATGATCTTTATTTATAGAGCAATGGGAATGATCTCTTTCTCAGAAGCGAATCGTGTTTGTGGCATTCAGCGTGCCAGGAGAGCGCGGCGGTGACAGGAGTCTGAATGCATAGCGTCGTTTCATGAGGCTGCAAGGGAGGGAAGCGATGGGAGGGGCTTCAGGCTGGTTGAAGCCAGACTAGTGAGGTGTTTACTGGCCAGACTGTGCGCTCAAAGGTTACCTGAACCCGTGTCCTCGAGAAAGTGTGAACGAGGAAAGCAGATCTCTGTCCCTCCTCAACATTTCTTCACAAAGGATGTTGAATGAACTGGAACATCACAATGCTGTCTGGGTTTATTGTATTTTATTTTGTCCTGAAACCTTATTGAATGTGTGCAGAGAAAACTTTCCCCTTAATCTTATGCATCATTAAGTAACTAACCTTTATGGTTCAAAAACAGTAAATATATTATTCGGTGATGTAAACGGTAGAAAAAGGGTGACTTTATTGTCAAAAGACGTGTTTACAAAATAAAGCTGAAGGATTTTGAGAAGCTCATCTCATGGTATATGAAGTCATCCCATCTGGAAAACAAATAACCTATGAAACATTTTGACATGACAAACATTTTTTTAAATGTGTCCTGTATTTGGCATTTCAGGCATGCCGTATTTAGAGGATGGCTGCTCTGCAAAAAAAAGACATCTTAAGATTGCATCCTGACACGTCGGATTACTATTAGATCAGAATAAGCTTTATTGGCATTTTATGCGATAAACTAAAACAAACCAGAGCCTAATTTTAAAGTAGGAGGAGTACAATAATAATAATAATAATAATAATAATAATAATAATTTTATAAATAAGAATCTGAACTGTTGAAATTAGGTCTGTACTTTGACTGGGCCGTTCCAACAGATGAACACCCTGTGATCGAAGCCATTGCATTGCACCTCTGGGTGTATGCTTAGGGATGTTGTCCAGCTGACATCAAAATCAGTATAATATGTAAAGCTAACTTACACACAGATGAACTGTCACACAAATCCCAAGAAAATACATTAAAGTTTAAGATTACAAATTGATAAAAATCAAAAAAGTTCTAGGCGTAAGAATAGCTTCAAAAAGTGCTTTAAAGCTGCAATATTATATATAATGAGATGAAACACTTGCAATTCGAGGGATCAGAATAATGCTGCCTCATGTAACAGCAATTATATCATCAAATATTTGTGAGGGCACAGTTGTCTGCTTTTACATAAGCCTATCAAGACCCAGCAGCTGCTGTGGAAAGTCACAAAGACACAAGCTATTCTAACCCTTCGCCTCCCAAGTATCTCCCCTCTCTTAACACTTTCCGTTCTGCATCCTGACTTTTTGTTGGCTGCAGTTAACATAATTGGATGGGATGTCGAAGTGATTGCACTCAGATGTGGCATCCACCCACAGTGGTCCATTTTTAGGATTGGCTGAGGCAGAAGCAGAGCCGCTCATTAACGTCGGGGCGGTTTCGTAACTTTGTCCTCATTGGAGGGTTGGTGAAATTCCAAGATCTCCTGAAATGAATCAGAATTTTCTTGTTGGGCACCAACATCATGATAGAGCATGTGCCTCATTAAAACATTTAGAGTACACACCTCTGAGCTTGATAGGCTGTGCAAGTAATCCAATGGAGAAACGGTACACTCTGTGACGTCTGTCCTGAAATACGAGCTGGAATGTTTACAGTTAATGTGGAAATTTACTGTAAACAACAAGCCCCGGATATAGAGTTTCAATTTTATACATGCTTCACATTATTATTATTATAAAAAAAAAGAAGTTAAATTAAGTTTAGAAAAATGCAATGAAAATGGTGTAAATGTCAGTGAGTGCACATCAGTGCCAGTCCTTTATAAAGACATGTGTGGAGTCAGATCAACAAGAGCTCAGATATCCTGCTGTGTCACAGACTGGTACACATGACGGTCAAAAAACAGGTGTGGACAACTTGTTGGGCTGCCAACAGGTCATGTGCAAAAGGTGCCTATAAATTGAGGAACCGTCTCCATCCTCAGAGAAACAGTAAGCATCCAGCAGGACGTACTGGACTAAAGATACTGAGGAACTTATCATTTTGCTTTTAATTGGATTAAAATCTTAAAGGAAAATCTTCAAGGTAAATGTCATATGCTAACTGACGCTTTTAATCAGTATAACAGAATGTTAAATTTAGTCTAAATGGCTTGAGACGCTCACACTGACGATTACTTGCCTGTTTTAGTGAGCAGTGGTATGCTGGCTGGCTCACTTCTGAGAAAGTTTATGGCCAAAGGCTTTTCAGCGACAGAACCCTTCCCAAAGCCCTGTCACATTCTTGAGAAAACTTGAAACTTCTCCGCATTATTTTGTAAAGGTAGGCACAACCACTTAACGCAAGTCTAAGGCTGCAATTGAAGGAACACGGCATTAAGAGCAAAGGTGTCCGTTTTTGTACCAGTTCCAGAAATAAAAATGGTTGCAGTGAAGCCGACCGACATGGTGCCCTCTGCAGGCATCAAGTTCTTTGGAGCAGGCACGGCAGCCTGCATTGCTGACCTCATCACCTTTCCTCTGGATACGGCCAAAGTCAGACTGCAGGTAGATACACCTGATGTAGCCATGACTCTAGATGTTTTACTTATGTGCTGCTAAAGACTCATAAACGCCACAATGCTCCCAGATCCAGGGCGAGTCTCAGAAGGTTGAAGGATCCAGTGTGGTGAAGTACCGGGGTGTGTTCGGAACCATCAAAACCATGGTGCGCACAGAAGGAGCTAGGAGTCTTTACAACGGACTGGTAGCCGGTCTCCAGAGGCAGATGAGCTTCGCGTCCATTCGGATCGGCCTTTATGACTCCATGAAGCAATTCTACACTCGAGGCACAGAGAGTGAGTTTTATGTATTTTAAAAAGGTTGAAAGAACGATGCAGTTCGTATCGGATTAGTAGGTCCTAACATCCTTGCTGCTCAGGTGCTGGGATTGTTACCCGACTCATGGCGGGCTGCACCACAGGAGCCATGGCTGTGGCTTTTGCACAACCAACAGATGTGGTGAAGGTGCGTTTCCAAGCCCAGGTGCGAGTGGCCGATGGCGAGAGGAGATACAACAGCACCCTGGATGCCTATAAGACGATTGCCAGGGATGAAGGAGTTCGGGGACTCTGGAGAGGTATTGCTTTTTCACTCAACATGTTACTTCCACATATAAAAAAACACCACAGGTTTGAACAATATTCTTTCTTCCAGGCTGCATGCCAAACATCACCAGGAATGCCATTGTAAACTGTGCAGAACTGGTCACCTACGACATGATCAAAGAACTCATTTTGAAGTATGACCTAATGACAGGTGAGCGAAAGAAGCAATCGACTGACTGCCATCGCTTGAAAAGTCCTAACACACAAATCCTTGTCACAGGAAGTAGCTCATGTTCTATTCTCCCACAGACAACCTGCCCTGCCACTTCACAGCTGCCTTCGGTGCCGGCTTCTGCACAACTGTAGTGGCGTCTCCAGTAGACGTGGTTAAAACTCGGTTTATGAACTCAGGAAATGGACAGTACGCCAGCGCCATCAACTGCGCTCTGACGATGCTGAGAAACGAAGGACCTGCAGCTTTCTATAAAGGGTAAGAGCTAAAAAGAAAATTAAAGATGCATTTTAAGAACTGCTGGGTGGAAAAACCAACCAAATATGGAGAAATTTGGCATCATTGCCGTGGTTGGGTCTGGTGTTATTAAACCTAAACAAACTTGCTTTCTTCTCTAATTTTACAAACCGGGTGTAATTTTATTCTGCTCTAACAACTCTGGCTTTGGGTTAAAGAAATATCCCAGCAGTTTTTGGAGTGTAAACATAACACAACATCCCAGCTCCACCTCCTTAAATTCCCCTCCTTTGCTTCTTCTAGATTCATGCCTTCTTTTCTGCGTCTTGGATCTTGGAACATCGTCATGTTTGTGACCTATGAACAAATTAAAAGGGGTATGACCAGAGCACAGCAGTACTGGGAGTCGCCGTTTTGATCGAAGCTCCTCGGGGACTTTTATGGCAAGAATGCGAAGATGCAAAAGTCATGACAAGCAGCGTGATGCAGTGAGGAAAAAAGTGTGCCACACAGCTGGAAGTGGAGAAGTGGTGGGGAAAAAGGTCCTAATTGTCGAGTTAGGTGGTGATCTGGCCTTGGAGGACAGGTACTGCACTTCATAACCTGTCAATAAAGACTTGAGTGAAAAAAGAATCAGGAACATTCCTGCAAGACCAGGAGGATTCACAGATTACAGCACAACGATTCATCAGGATTGATATGACCAGAGCTTCCATTACATATCAGTATAACTGAATTTTGCTCAACAGGATATCTGATGATGTTTATTTTTTTATGTTTACAGTGATGAACTTTCCAGTCAGGTCGACAGCACTGTTGCATGAGAACTGATATTTAGAAGAAGTTTTTCCACAAGAACATTGACCATTTCACTTTGGTGTTACCTCCTTTGTCAATATTGGCAAAAATGTTTACACTGTTGCTTTGGGTGTAGATTGCTGACTGTAAACACATTCATGTTTAGTTGCATGATTTATTGCTGGCCAATGGGTCATGAAATTAATTTTGCACAACGCAAAAGCTAAAAATGTCAAGTAAAATTTTGTCTGGAACGTAATTATATTTCAGCTCTGTTAGTTGTGCACTTTGTCATTAAACTAGAAATGGGAAAAGAATTGCACTGTTAAATAAAATCCTACATGATAATGGTAAGCTTATGTCTCCGCTGTTAACACTAACCATTGGAGATCTAGTAATATGTGACAAATCTAAAGTTTCTGAAGTTACAAATTATTTAAAGATTTCAAACTGCCACCACCCAAAAAATATCGACTGTCCATAAAAAGGCATGAAGTCTGATTAGGAAAGGGTTTGGTATTGGCTACATTGAAGAACAGCAGCATGATTTATTTTTACGGCTGGGTGAGTGAGATACGTAGTGGGACAGCGCCATCTTACAGCGATACATGTAGGACAACATGTACCCGAGCCCTGGGTATTAACGCTGCACTTCGCAATTCTCAGATATCACATGTCTGCTTCTTCTATATTTGTCTAATGACTGCTAGCCTATCTGTATGAGACAGACAGTACAGTTCAAACAAATATCACTTAAAAATTAACATTAAAAAATAACATTTGAAGTCTTTGGTTTGTCATATGGAAACTTTCTTTATAGCTTTTTTTGGGGGAGGGCATTCTATGTCAGAAAACAAGTAGAGCAGAATTGTGAAGTAAAGAAAAAACGTGATTTTCAGATTTTTGATGTACGTTCCAGAGTGACAGCAAAGCTCAGGGCTGATGGGAAGAAAACCCTGTAAGAAACTGCAAAAGACTCGAGAGAGAGAGAAAGGTTCATCTTCTTGCAGCACATTGACCTTAACCAACCCAATCCGATTTATTTATAAAGCACACTTGAAAACAAAAAAATGGTTCACAAAAGTGCATCTGAAGAGTAAGCAAAAAGAAAAGTAGATACATAAAACAATGCTAGACAACACAACAGTTCATACAGAAGAAGAAGCAACTAATGTTGCGTCAAACGCCATAGAAAAAAACATTTAAGACGGCCTTGCATACTTTGGCAACCTGTTCTATAACTTAGCTTTAGCCTCGTCTTTGGAACGGTCAACAACAGCTGGTCAGCTGACTTTAGAGACTGCAAATGAGAGTACGGGTGAAGCAAGTCCAAGAGATAGCGTGGATCGAAACCATTAGGACATTTAAAAGGCAACAAAAGAATTTTGAAATCATTTGTCTCACAGAAAGCCAGTAAAGAGCAGCGACATCAGGAGTGACGTGTTCTGGTCTGTGCGATCGAGTTAGGAGACGAGTAGCTGCCTTCTGAACAAGTGGGAGGTGAGAGAGGGGAGTTGGTCTGACCCTGAAATATAGCGCACTACAAAAGGCAAGGCATGAGGTCAAAGAAAAAATCCTCCCAAGACAAAATTGTCTTGATTTTGGAAATTTGTCACATTGAAAAAAGCTTGTATTTTTACCACAGATTTGACTTGTGTGTCTAACTTAAGGTTGCTGTTCAATTTCACTCCATTATTTGTGGCAGTGGATTTTAAATATGGAGTCAAAGTGAATGATTAATATCTTAAATATGAAGCCAGAACTACAACTGAGTGGATTAGATCAAAGCTCATCGAGGTGTTAGGATGTCTTAATCAAAGTTCAGGCATAAATTAATAGAGGATTTGTGGAAAGACTTGAAAGTTGCCATTCACAGAATCTCCATCCAGTCAGACTGAGCTTGAGTAATATTGCAAAAATAATTTTTGCCTCTATGTGCAAAACTAGTGGAGACATAACACAAAAAGATTTGCAGCTGTAATTGCAATGAAGTTTGGTTCTACTAAGTGTCGACTCTTTGCAGGTGAATGCACACAACAGTTTTATCTTTTTTCTTTAAAAAAAAAACATTAAAAAGAATTAAAACTATGTATAATCTTCCTTCTAATTCTGTACTAGTTTTGATTACCTGCCACATAAAATCCCAGAAAAAAGATTGAGGTTGTAATGTGGCAAAATTTCCTTGGATATCTATAACAACTGCGGACTTAATTAAGATTAATGACAGAGTGGTAGTTAATCACTAGACAAAGCAGAAAGAAAGAAAGAAAGAAAAAAACCTGGAGGAGGTTTTTGACTGAAACTGGTGGCTAGACGATTATGGGTCGAGACATATGGCTCCAATCTGGCGCTCCCTGTGTTTTTGTATGTTCATCATGACTCAGCACTTACTTAATAGTACACAACACTCCCATCACTAAACGGCTGACTTAAACAAATTGTACATCTATATATAAAAAGAAGAAGTAATAATTTAGATTTGTTGTTACTTTATTTTATAAAAGTATAATGAAGAGCCTTGTTTGCTAAAGTTACAATGTTATGTAGAAATTAAATTAGTAATACAGACAGGAGACAAAGCTGCTCTAAAGTCTACATTCATATACAAATAGACTCAGACGGCGTTGGTCAGCCTCTTCTGTCTGATTGATCAGCAAACATTGTTCCTGTAAGATACCACAGAAAACACGTGCTGCACCATTATGTAACAGCATCACAGCAGTATTTAAAGAGGCGCGTGCTCTCTCCGTTTCTCTCCACACTGCTGCACTTTTCCCCAGTCATCGCTTCAGATCCATTCAGACAGTGTCGCCTAAAGACGCATCTTAATCTTAAAAAAATCACATATAAAGGTAATTTTTTTTTTCTTTGTTTGAAATATTGGTCTGTTTTTGCACCTTTTTTTTAATTTTGTCAAACTGTTGCCCTGCTGCTCTCAGACTTACACTTTGCTCTGTCAGGACTCAGAGTATGATTTTAGCTGACATCATTTCTGCAAGATCTTCTATGGAAAAACAAAGAAGCTGGTTTATAGCTGGAACAAAGTTCAGCCAAAGAGACACCTTCAGAGAATCCTGACCTTCTGTGTTTCTGTCGCACTGACTGTTCCAGCAAAGGTAAGAGCAAAGCGTCCCATCCGTTTCGTTTAACACATGGATAGATGAAAAGTAAGAGTTTACAAGTTAAGGTATTACTTGCATCAGAAAGATGCATCCCTTATCACTAGAAATTTGTGATGGAAATTCCATGGAAATTCGTTAAGTACAAAAAATATTATTCTGCTTGGCAGTGTGGAATAGATTTACTAATGGAAAGTCTGTTTTATTTCAGATTTTTGGATCAGATACATGTCCAGCGTTGCCATTTAATTTTAGTTTTAATCCAAAGAAAAAAAAAATGGTTGGATTTCAGCCAGTGGATGTGCCTCCAACAGCAGCTGTAAAGTTTGTGGGTGCAGGAACTGCAGCCTGCATTGCCGACCTGCTCACCTTTCCCCTGGATACTGCCAAAGTGCGGCTGCAGGTATGTTAACGCTCTGCATCTTTAAGCTTAAACGCCTTATTTTGTTCCTTATTGGGTTAGCCAGTGTGATTTCTTTCACAGGTCCAAGGAGAGGCCAGCATCTCTGAAGCGATTGGGAGAGTTCCTGCAGTAAAATATCGGGGTGTGTTTGGGACCATCGTCACCATGGTGCGCACAGAGGGGCCTCTGAGTCTGTACAGCGGGCTGGTTGCAGGGCTCCAGAGGCAGATGAGCTTTGCCTCTGTCCGCATTGGTCTCTACGACTCTGTTAAGCAGTTCTACACGAAAGGATCTGATCGTAAGTTCCTGCGACTCAAAATATTTTAACTTAAGAAGCCCCGAGTCAAAAATTGTATCAAATTTTTAGACGTCGGCATCGGCAGTCGTCTGCTTGCGGGATGTACCACAGGAGGGATGGCTGTGGCTCTGGCTCAGCCCACAGATGTGGTGAAAGTTCGCTTTCAGGCACAGGCCAGGTCTAATGAGTACGCAAGGCGCTACTGCGGCACCATTGATGCTTACAAGACCATTGCTAAGGAGGAGGGCATCCATGGTCTCTGGAAAGGTTACTTACGCCTAAGAGATGCTGTCTTAATTACTCCCGTTTATTTTATTTTTATCTTTTTGACAAACACGCGTGTGTGCACTCAGGCACAGGCCCCAACATCGCCCGCAACGCCATCGTTAACTGCACAGAGCTGGTGACATACGACTTCATTAAGGATTTCCTCCTCACCTCCACTCCCCTGTCTGGTAAAGTAGTGGCTTTGGTCCAACGTGAAAAACACTGGTGTGAATCTGGAGCTGCAGCTTCCTGTACTCCACAGACAACCTGCCCTGCCACTTCCTATCAGCCTTTGGCGCCGGGTTATGCACAACTGTGATCGCTTCCCCAGTGGATGTGGTCAAAACCAGATACATGAACTCTGCTCTGGGCCAGTACAGCAGCGTCCTCAACTGTGCTGCTGCCATGATGGCCAAAGAGGGTCCGCTCGCCTTTTATAAGGGGTAAGGCAAGACTGTAGAGACTTTTCTGAAAGATTCACCATATGAAGGAGAATATAGGGGGGTCAAAAATGCCACAATCAGAATTTGAATATTTAGATTTTTAAGTAGTTTAAATAAAACCATCAATACATTCAATAAAAATAAATATATACAATTTATATATTTGTTTTTATTGAATAAAAATGAATATGTATATTTATAAGTATACACATATACATGAATTATATATTTATTTTTATTGAAAGTACTTACAGTTTTATTTAAATTACTTAAAAATCTGAATATTATTCTAATTCTGATTGCGGCACTTTTGACGCCTGATATTCTCATTCTTATGGTAAATCTTTCGGAAAAGTCACTTATTTAATAAGTCAGTTGTTTAATAACTGTTTACATGTGCATATAATTTTTAATTACATAATAAATGTCTAAACCAACACTTAAAATTGTAATTCCGTTAATGTTAATATTCTTTAAACTTATTCAATTATCTATTAAATCTTATTTTATTTTGAGTACTATGTGAAATAATTTAAATTGTTCCTATGGCTCATGTAAAGGTATTAAATAAATCTGATTACTTTACACATCTTATCGACTTCAAACCAATCACTTTGTTTGTAGCAGTATAAGTCCTGCCCTCTAGGATTCAACCTGACAGATAAAATAAATTCCTGATGACAAAAAGTCTTAATTTGCTCAAATAATTCTAAACGCTTTTGTGAACATAATCCATATTTATTTTGTTCATTAGAATATTAAATATTTTATTTCAATATAAACTACTTGAATGGGATATTTAAGTAGTTTGTGGGCGGGGCTTGCGCTGGTACGACTACAGATATTTGGTTTGCAGTCCAAGGTGACAGTTTAATTGAATTTATGGGTCTCTAGATCTACAAAACATACAGATGTTTGTACCAGATACAGAATTTATACTGTGATCTATTTTATAAATGTTTATCAGCTGACTAATTCACTGCATTGTGGTGTTTTTGGCTCTTGGTGGCTGTAACAAAAGGCTGATAAAGCACAATGTTTTTCTGTTTCCTCCTGATTTAGCTTCACGCCATCGTTCTTACGGCTGGGCTCCTGGAACGTGGTGATGTTCGTCACGTACGAGCAGCTGAAGCGAGCTTTGATGGCGGCGAATCACAGCCGAGCAGCTTTATTGTAACCACTGAAGCTTACCTGAGGGCTGCTGTTGGAACACAGCTGCCTTCCATTTAGCTTTCTTTCAGTGAACACTTCAGCTCATACCTAATGCGATAAAAAAACCTTTTTTTAAGTTTCTGGGAGTGCAACACGTTTCGCTAAACTAGGGTGAATAATGCAGATTTAGAGCTTGTTTGATCAGCTGCTTGCTTTCGGCGCTGAGCTTTTCTGGAAATTCAATGTCAAAGGTGAGGATGAGGTTTCCTCTCTGGGTCGGATCCTGTGGCAGCGGCATTCCCTCTCCACTCAGCACTTTTTTGTACGACTGGCTGGTTCATCATCGGGTGGGGGAAAAAAGGAAAGTGGTGCTGATATTAAAACATACAGTTGACTGCAGAGTGGCTGTATTTTTAACACCATGTGTGTTTGTTGTTGATCTTTGACCTCTAATAAGAAACTACTGCAAAATCCAGAAGAATAAATGAATGCCGTACGTTAGGCCTTTATACGATAAAGCACTTACTGCACAATGTCATTGATAGGAATGGTGAGCAGCTTGTCATCTAGCGTCTCCACAACCACAGAGAAGCCAGTCAGGGCCTATTGGGAGAGGAATACTTTAACACTGCTACTGTAGAGCTTCTTCTGATTACTGCATTGTTCCTACATATCAATCACCATTCCTTTGCAGACAAATAAAAAACTGATATTTTCATATTTGAAGGAAGGAAAGAAAAAAAAAAGGAAGAAAAGGACACAAGTATGGCAGACAACAAACAAAGACATGACTCACCATCTCCAGAGAGATCCTGGCCTTGTAGAGGAGGTCGCTGAGCTGTCTCGTAAACAAATGATGAGGCTTCTCCCGCACTATAAACACAATGTCTGCAGGGATGCAGTTTGGTCCCTGCAGATAAAACACAACAGGATGACTGACCTGGTCTAGAAGGACGACGACGCCTGGACGAGGAGTTTGAATTTCCCCAAATCTGACCTTTCGAGATTCAAGATTACTTTATTCATCCCCACAGAGAAATTATTTTGTCCAAATAGCACAAAAATACAAAAAACAAATCGAGTTAAAGCACAACAACTTGTTCATATATGGTAAAACATGACAATGTGTATATATGAAATCCAAAAAAACATTTTCAACAAAGCACACTTGTCAGTGGCTATAATACTCAACATATATGCTAAGAAATTATATATATATATATATATATATATATATATATATATATATATATATATATATAGTCCAGAAATGTGCAGTTCTAGGCACAGCCAAGATACTGTGCAGAACCCTCAAGCTCTCAAGCTCCCAGGCCTCTGGTAGAGGACCTGAGCTCAGAGGATGAAAGAGACCACCCGCGGAGGGTGAGAAGGGAATTTTTTTATATATATATATATATATATATATATATATATATACTGCACAGTGTATGAAAACATAGCGTATACCTGATCTCCCTCTTTGGTGAAAACGATTCTGGTGCCTTCCGTCCATCCAGGTTTTACTTCGATAGTCAGAATCTTGTCCTTGATACTGGAAGTTTCTCCATCCTCATTCATAACCTGCAACACACACGACAGAATGTAGAAAAACCCACTTTTCAATAATAAGGAAACCATCACCTCCATAGTAGGATACACATTTTTGGTCTATTTGTCTGAACATTTTTATCATAGCTCAGAGATGATGAAGGACGATCGTCAAAAAACCTGATGTTTGAAGCTTGCACACAAAGTGTTGCTCCAACACGATCAGGATCTTAAACATACACAGAAACTGGTTTGGGAGTCAATACAGGAAGCTAACATCTTCCGGACAGGCCAAGCCCTTAAACCCCATGGAAATAGTGCGGACAATGATTCAAAACTTGTGTGGATTAAAGAAAATCCACAATAAACCCAAACCTGTTCATTAAATAGTTTCTTTTTTATGAATTAAAACTTGTGTCGTATCAACCTGAAAAGTCAAAAGACATGCTGAAGACAAACGTATGCAAACTTCTGATAAGTCCTGTAGCTGTACATTGTAATCTAGCATTTTTTTGTGTTTTGACATATTGTTAGATTAACGTCTTTGTTGTGACTTGTATCACTTTAAGAATCACAGCACTCCAGAAGCACTCAATTTAATGGACATATGAATGATTTAACGTGGGAAGAGCACTGAGCAGAGGAGGGGAAAAAACACCTCTCTAATATGTTAGTAGCATCTACCCTGCGAGAAATCTTAATCTTCTTTATGCATCCATGGAAGAGATCATCCAGGGACAAAGGAAGATCTCTCTCTATTGGAGAATCTTGTTTCTTCTCAACTCCTACCACCAGGGAGCTGAACTGAAGACCTGATTCTATGGTGTAAAAGTCTGCAGGAAAGACAAAACACAATAAATTCAGCAGCTTCGAATTAAAAACAAAAGGCACAATATAGACTTTGAATGCACTTTTCTCACCTGCAAATGGGTTGTCACCTCCAAAGAACTGCTTGAACGTTTTGTCAGGAATGCCATGGTAGGTATATTTGGAGGACCAAGCTCCACTACTGGTACACTCTACAGGGATACCACCTTTGAGTCCCTCCTCACCAAATTTGTCATAAGTTGCCTTTTTTCTTGCTGAAAAGGAATAGATATGTAAAATGTTGTCAATTTACAACTATGAACTTTAATGTGATTTTGACGGATTTTAGACCAACAGCGTAGTGAAGAGGAAGGAACATTATAAATGTATTTTTATTAGCATTTAAAAAAGTGTTGCATATATTTGTATTTAGCACACTAAATAAATCAACACCCAATGAATATAAATAATTTCGCAAGGCATTGTGGGAGCAGTTTGTAAGATACAAGCAGTAGCATTCAGAGTGGATTCAGTTGAATAAACTCACCGTCACTGAGAACATCGTAGGCTTCACTCAGCTGGTAGAATATCTCCCTGCTTCCAGCTTCTTTGTTTTTGCACGGGTGAAACTTCAACGCAAGACGTCGGTATCTACGTAAATATGATAATAAAAACTGTAACGTTTCCAAAGACAGTCCGATTTAAAAAAAAAAAAAAAAAGTAAGTGAAACTTACGCCTTTTTGATATCTGCATCCGTTGCGTTTCTGTTTAGCTCAAGAATCTCGTAGTAATCACGGTTCATGGTGAGGTTAAGCGCGTACAGCTTGCTCGCTATCTGAGAAAACACAAAACGTCAACTTACGTTGGAAAATCGAGCTAACCAGACGAAGCAGCCCAGTGCGTGTTGATGTTGGTTGCCATGGTGAGGAAAGTCTAGAACGCTCTCGCGAGGTTTGAAGACATTCTAAAGCCCCCGAACAGCAGATAAAAATGCAATAAAAACAAACAAACGCAGAAGCAGCGTAGAAAGGTCAAAGGCACACTTTTTATTTTTCGAGACCAATAATAAATTAATATCATTACCAGTGCAACTATTGATACAATAATTATTGAGATAGCAACTCAATTCATATTTCTTATTTGTGTTGCAATGACAACTTTAAAATAACATGCTAATTTGTATTTCATTTAGTATTACTTTATCAATTTGTTGCATCAGTTTCAGAAATTATCCTATGCTGACACCAAAGCTATTAAAATGGTGTGCTTATATTTGTTCATACTCACTTAATCAAACATACAAAACTCATGTATAGAAGAAAACTGTGTAGAAGAATACTGACTGTAGTCATGGTGAAACATGGTGGTGGCAGGATTATGCTGTGGGGATTCTAATTATTTTCTGCAGTGGAAACAGGGAGGCTATCATAGCTAATGAGAAGATGGTTGAAGCAGCCTGTTCACTGTTCAGCAAGACTTCAACCCTTAAACATTCAGTCATAGCTACAAGATGTTAGTTTAGTTCAAAGTATAATTTAATTCCATGTTGTTCTAGCAAATGTGCACATTATTGAGCAAGAGGGACTGAACTAATTACAAACAAGCACTTTTTAGAATTTTATTATATATATAAAAAAGTGCAAACCATGTTTAATTTCCTGGTCATCTAATTTATGCAATATTTTGTGTTGGTCTATTACATAAAATCCACTTAGTTGTGGGGCTTGAAGTGACATGAAAATACTTTTCACTTTGCAAGGCACACTAAATGTTGTTATTTTACTGTATGACAAATATGGAGTCTTAAAGAATCTAGACATATAGTTTACCTCGACACCAGTTCAAATAAACATTTTTGTTTCTTTTAAATAGACTACTGTACCTGATTTACATACAGCAAGTCAACACTGAATTATGAGGGGACATAAGGGTCATTATTAGGTGTTTTTTAAAATGTGCGACACATGAATTACATCAGTTGTGAGAAGTGTAAATTTATTCTTTCATTTAAAACCATTCCAGACAGAAATGTTAACTATACTATACATACTGGACTCTCCTGCATAAGTTCTCACAAGAATTGCACAATATCATCAGTATGATCGAACTCCCACCCAGAGGTGCCAGACAAACAGCAGAATCCGTCACAGACTCTGCAAAAGCTTGTCCGGAAGAATGCATATCTTAGTAGCGATTCAGGACTCGTTACCGCAAGGGAAAATATTACTGGTCATAAAAAAAAAGGAAGAAAAAAAAAGCATGAATCCAACAGAAATAAATATTTCAAGTCATTGTAGATTAAATACATGTGTTGATAAATCACTAATAAAAGATCAAAGCCAAAAAGTAGAAACAAGCAAAAACAAAAACAAAGTTCTGAAAGTGTTCAAACAATATCATACGAAACCTGACGCCAAGGAAGCCCTCTACAATTTTAGCCTAAAAAGGTAAAATTTTCCCCATCCATAGAGTTTGTGTTGGGTTTTAAGTGGAAATCCTCTCTTCAAAACTACAATCAAAGGAAAAAAAAAAAAAAGTCTATGAAACTTTAGGGAAAAAGCTGACTTAAAAAAACCCTCAGAGGACGTACAGGAGCAGGACGGTGAATGAGGCTGACATATTGTGGTATGTTTATTAAAAATCATGTAGTGCGAATCTGATGCGTTTTCATAATATGTGCTTATAAAAAGGTGACAGAATATTCTGTGACAGCTCAGGCAACATAATTTTTAGAGTAAAGGTCTCTGCCTCCGACTTTAGCTGCATCACAGTTGTAGAGATTGTGTGATAGTAATTAAACTCAACATGCTCCCACTTAAATTCCCACACTGTACTCAATTAATAAAAGAAGTTTGTTCACCACTAATTTAAAAAAAAAAAAAAAAAAATCAGATAGTCTTCCAAATCTTTCTCCACGGCATAAATTATGTTAAGTGACAAATGCACACAACATTCACACAGTTTACTAGGCTTAAAGCAGTGTTCTTCTGTTAAAATGAATATTCTCCCTCTTAAAACACAAACCTGGACAGATAACTTACAGCAGACATTCGCTTTCGGTTTGGTTTGGAAAAAAAAAATGTAATGAAATACGCCAATATGACCGATAACATCTGCAACAACATATTCTTCTGAAATGAAAACAGGAGCTCTATGTAAAGGTGAGCTCCACGTGTGTCTGTGGTTTCAGTACATATGTCAGATACAGTGTGACGTTCAGTTTTAGTGATATGTGGCTTTCAGAGCTTCAAGATGAAAGCTCGGGTGGAGTCACGACGGCCGAAGGTAACGGGTGTGTAGTGTTCTCAGTCGGACTGGAGCCGGGTGTAGTGAAGGGAAGATTTACAGAAAGACCGGCTTCCAGGAAAACGCCTGCAGCACGGTTGACAACTCTAGCAGGAACAGCCTCCTTCGCTGACCGGTTGCTCGGGCGGTTTCTCCAACTTTATGTCGATCACTGCAGGGTTGGTGGATTAAGGAACAACACAGAACAAGAAAATATGCGCCGGTTTAAAGAGGAACTAAAACACTGCAGCCAACACCTAAACAGGAAACAACCAGAGGAAAGGGATGTTGAAAAGTCACGCTAAACACTAAATCATTCCAACATGAACAAAACATGCCACCACATTTTAGCTGAGGTTTTGTTCATATGTTTAAGATTTACCACTGACAATTTGTCCTTATCTGTTAAAAGAAACTCGGAGGGTTTCACCAACTCAAATTAAAGACTGCTTAAGACCATTATCAATTCAATTTAAGGCCTGGGTCACAACATATATGTATAAATAAAAGAACTGAAGACTTTTGAGGAAGAAATGGTACTACTTGTGAGAGTATGTATAGATATTGTCACATTGAAGACATTAAATGCCATTCCTTTTGCTCTTTTTCCCTTATTTGTCACCATAGCTGCATCTGTGTGGTTTCTTACTCTACTTCTCAGATGGATTTCCTTCTACAGTAGTTGTTGAAATAAAATTCTTCAATAGGTAAGACTAATGCTTGATGAACGTTGCCCAGTCAACTGGTGAGAAATTTGCACTTATCCAGGTTAAATAGACCGGCCACAACAAAATTTAAGGCATATTCAAGGCCATCTTGCATTTTTTTAAATGAATTTAAGACATTTTAAGATCCTAATTTTAAATACAAACATTTAAGACTTTTTAATGATGTGCTGCAGACACATTATTAAAACCTTGCAGAGCAATCATGTTGCAAACTTTGTTTATACTTTAGACCTTTGGGGAAGGCGCTCGTTTTAGGTCATAGTAAATCTGCAGCTGGATGTCCTTGGAAAACTAAATCTAAAGCGACTCATAGGTTAAATGACAACAGTGAGACGTCATAAAGCTGCGCTGGACTTTCCCCGTGGCAAGGATTATATGCAAGATTTGATATGAGGTGACATTAGAGAGCAAGGAGACCTCCCAACTCCTCCGTCATGTCAGGCGAAGACAATGACGAGCACACAAAGGATACTGTCCTCTCTGTTCTTGTCCTGTGTGGTATCCATGCCAGGGAGGGCGGCTGCCACGCGGCGGAAAAGCTGCAGGAAAGACAAGCGGATGCATATCGTCAGGAATATTTTCAGGACGGAACAACCAGTCGAAACAAGCATGCATGCCGTCTGTGATCACATGACATTTTATAGCACAAGTTCACCTCAAGCTTTAACAAAGCGAACACACCCAACAAAGCTTTGTCAAATCTGACAGTGATTAAGGCGCTTTTGTTGGGGGTACTGCATGAACATGCATCTGATAAGTCAAGAGGTCTATGAAAAAAAAACAAAAAAAACATGGAGTGCCTTTCTAGTGCAGCTGAGCCGCTGATGGTGTAATTTTTTTAAGTTTTTTTTTTGATTGATGGATCCTCATGAGATAAATTTAATCAAGATGCAGAGCATGCACATCCCCAATAAACTGCATGAAATGAAACAACTTTCCATAACGAAGATTTCACAGCCTTTCTTGATTTACTGCGAAAATCAAGAAAGGCCAGTCGTTGGTTTGCAAACTCGTACCCATCCTGAAGACGTTTGATCAAAACTTGGCCGAATCGTCACGCACAACAGTTGGGCGAGAGCTTGGAAAGCAAAATCACGCGCCTCATCGGAAGCAGACGCTTAAAGCACATGTCCAGCACGCATGCGTGTAGAACAGAAGTCAATCAAAACAGGGCAGCGAGTGCTGTGGACGCACACTCACAAGCGTGCGCAGCCTCTACCTGTTTGACATTGTAGCCTGTCTTTGCACTTGTTTCAATAAACAGAACATTCATCTCTTTCGCTCTCTGCTCTCCTTCTTCTGTGGTTATCTGTCTGCGAATCCCAACGAACGAACACACAAACACCCACCGTGACACGCATCACAGACATCGAAACACAGACAGAAGAAAAAAAAATTTTTTGATTATATTGAAGTGAAATAATAAGCCGTGCTCCTCCTTGCTGCAACTGGCACCGCTGCTCAAGAACCAAAAGTCTCCCGGTGCAATTGAAAACATTTTAATATGTACTGAGTTGAAGTTAAATTCAAAGTTTGCTCAGTGCAGCGCCAGCAGAAAGTATTAATACCCCTTGAACTTTTTGACAATCTGCTCCTCTACACCCACAAATGTGTCTTATTGTGATTATATGCGACAGACCAACACAACGAAGTGCATAATAAATGGACAAATGATGAATGGTTTTTAATTTTCAGCAGCTCCCTTTGCGCTGGTATTGCGAAGAAAAACACAATGCAACCAGCTTCCTTCAGATTTAGTAAATAGAGCCCACATATGTGTTTGTGTGACAAACTGTGTAAGTCCAGCTTATTCAGTTCTCCTTCCTACAGGTAAAACAATGTTAAACATAGAGCCAGCATGATGATGAAGTGGTTTAGTTAAAAGCATATTTCTAAGTTAAAATGACCCAATGAAGAAAATCCAAGAAAATATGAGTGTCAGAACTGAGAACATAAATGCTCTCCATCCACTGTGAGCTCTTAGACAAAAAAAAAAAAGATGAATTGGTAAACATTTTGCTAGGGCTGCTAGAATGATACCCCCAAAAGACTTACAGGTGTAATTGCAGCAAAACGTGATTCAAAAAAACTATTGACTCAGCCAAGCTGAATAAAAATCCGCACTGCACTTTTCACATTTTTATTGGTTAAAAAAAATTAAATTAAATTAAATCCACAAAACCTTATCCTTCCACTTCTCATTTATGCACAAGTTTGTGTTGATCACACAAAATCCCAACAACACACACTGAGGTTAGAGGCCGCAATGTAAAAATGGGTATAAGGCACCATACATACTAAATAATTTCAATATCCAGGAAATGTCAAGAAACGTATGAGTTATTTGGACATTTGTAAGAACAAAAAAAAAAATAAAAAATCTTGCTCAGTTGCAACTTTTCTTTATTTGCTCCAGAGGGAAGCTTTTGGCAGAGAAGCTGCAGTACCAGCAGCAGGACTTCAGAGCACGACTCAGACACACACACTTACCTGCTTCACGTTGTAGCCTGCTTTCGCACTAGTCTCAATAAACATTACATTTAGTTCTTTGGCTTTCCGTTCACCCTCCTCAATAGATACTTGCCTGTGGTAGATAAGGAAGTTAAAAGATGCACAGCCAGACAGATGAAAATACAAGTTTATATAGTGGAGAGAAATAAATATGTCCTCCATTACAGACAGAGATCAGAAATGAGGAAAAGATAAAGTCGATTATTGCTTTGACATCCATAAAAAGGAGAAAAAAATAAACTCATCTGATGTAATGCTGCCTTTAAAAGGTTAAGAACAAGAAATTAAAGGGGCAGCATTACGTGTCATTGCAACAGCTCTCCTCTATTAACCCTTTAACAACATTTTTACCAGAATTACACTTATAAATAGCTCATATAAAGAGCTCAGCAGATGCACAGTTCCACTAGGCACTTGCTAATTGATGCTGACTAGTCTGAAGGAGCTGAGTGGGAGAGTTGTGGGGAAGGACTGTACTGTGAGGCGGAAGCTTGGAAAATGAACCTGTGAGGAGGAGCTGTGCCTCAAAAAAAGGAGGAGCTGTGCCTCAAAAAAAGGAGGAGCTTCACCTTGCTTCGTTTGGCACAGCTGAATGGTTGCCACAAGAGATTAAATGATTTCTCAAACATGCATGAAAGAATTAAGGCAACACTCCAGGTATGTTTTTATGAGGGAATAACATCTTAACATGATGTAAAACTTAAAAACGTTAATTTTACATAACGATGCCCCTTTAATAATATTAATCTGCCTTTTAACGTTAGTAATGTTAAAAGACAAAGGCAGGAAAGGTGAACAACTAACCTTTTGTCTGCAAGGTCTGTCTTGTTTCCCACCAACATGATAATGACATCACTTCCTCTCTCTGTTCTGACATCATCAATCCACTTTGTGGTTTGTTGGAAAGAGTTGACATCTGGATGAAAGTCAAAGAGGAAACAGATCAACACTATTAGGGAGATGAAAACATGTTTTACATTAGAAATTTATTAAAGACTCTGAAATCGAACTGAAGTTTTTGTACGCAAAGTATAACTGAACAGACGGAGCTTGTATTGTGTCACCTACTTGTAATGTCGTACACAACGACAGCAGCGGCTGAATCTCTGATGTAACTTGGGATCAGGCTGCGAAATCGCTCCTGCCCCGCTGTGTCCCACAACTGTAACCTAATCTGCGGGCCAGGGAGAGGATGGAACAAAAAATATAAAAAAAAGAAAAGAAACAAAGAGAGAATGGAAATAAAAAGAAAACAGATAAATGAGCCAAGTTAACGTGGCCAAAACAAATCGAAACAAAACCAAATAAAGAAAGACGGATGGGGAAAAGATAAGAGAAACAGACAGAGCGTAGGGCATGCAGGTCGAGAATGACCATCAGAGAAAGAAAGCTGTCTGGGCCTGGAGGGGAAAGAAATAAATAATCACCCTTCACTTGTCACCATCCCTCTTCTTCTGATCAAGTAAGGTGTTTTCATTTCAAAAAAATGGGATGAGAGATAGATGGAGGGGTAGGAAGGAGACGGAGAAGACTTAAGTTGAAGGAGTAAGCACTCAGTAAATGTACGGACTGTCCAGAGGGAACAGTATCCCGATCACAAAATCACCAAGCCATAAAAAAAACAAATAAGCACCACAAAAATCACCCCACACATGAGAATCCCTGAACATTTGTAGCACTGGAAACAGACTTACTGTTCTGTCTTCAAGGTACATGGTTTTTGACAGGAAATCTATTCCTATTGTGGCCTGAAAATAGATGAGAAATTATGAATTAACTCATCCAGCGCAGACATAAAGAACGGCGACTTAAAAACAGTGACGACTCACTTGGTACGTGTTGTCGAAGCTGTCATACATGAACCTGGTGATCAATGACGTCTTTCCCACTGAGACACAAACAGAAAGAAAAAAAAACAACATTTAGTTCAAACTGGGAGATTATTCAGCTGCTTAAGGCCATCAAAGTAACAACCTTTCAAAATAAAAGGGCTAAATTACTGCCTTTGCTCTGCAACAAGATGATTAAAATCAAACTATTTAGTTTGATGTAAAGTCCAAGTTAAGATCAAAGAAAAACTACACTAAAACTACAGACTTACTGTACATATACAGCTAACCTTAGTAAAAATATTAATACACTAAGACCATTTTTAGCTTATCTCTAATGACATTTCTAATATAAATTCAAGAGAGTTGCTTTTGAAATATTTAAAATGTGGCGGTGAAACATATTAAATCCATTTACGGCACCTGGAATACTGCTTTGCTAAAACGGAAAAGCAAACCACAGCTTTTAAAGAAACATATTTGATTTTTTTGTATTCCGCATCTATAACAGCGCCTTCCAAAATGTCCAACCTCTGACCCACAAAATAAAAATATAAGACCCTGACTCTTGGTAAAATGGCAATGGCAATTCAAGCAGCATCAACAGTCAATATATCGACCCATGTTGACTTTATTAATTCAAGAGCTGTCTTTTATCTTAAAACACTCATACATGCTTTCTCACTTCTATTTATATTATTTTCTCAAGAGGATCTCACACTTACATATTCGTGACCCCAGCTTTATGAGCTGTTGTTTTATACAGACTCCTCACTTGTACACAAGTGCAAAACAAATGTGTGTGTGTTGTTGTTGTTGCTTTTTATTAACAGCTGATCTTATGATGTCTCGCTGAGTTCTGGGACTGTGGTGCTCAGCCACACACTGTGACTTTCTGGTGAGCTCAGGTTACAGTATCAGTTACAATGTGCATCCAGTGACAGAGACATGACTAAAGTCAACACAGCTGGTTCTGAGGATGCAAAGACCCACAGCTGATTACGGCCCGACAAACAAACTCAATCTGTTGCACCTGGAAGAGACGACAAAAACTTACCCAAAGATGGAAAAATTAATAGATTTTTTTTAGGTTATATCCTGACAAAAACAGCAATAATTGAATCACATAGACTAATTGATAAAATATCTATAGTAACTAACTATGAGTTATTACAGGCAAACAATGGTTGTTTTGAGTGTTTGATTTTTAGCATAACTTTGCTTACTTTCAATTTTCACATTCTGTTTAAGTTGTCTCTTTAAATTTACATTGCTTTCTGGCTGCATATTTACACATAAAATAGTTTGGTCCATATTACATACACAGCAATAGGCCAGTGTACAACACAACAATAAAACTACAGAACCACAGATCACATTTTTTCCCCCAGGTCAATACCAATTTATTTTTTTTATTTCCTTTGAGATCTAACCTGCTAATTATAATTTTATCTGATTACTTCTTATCATAAGGACGATGTAACAATCAAAAGCAGTGAATGTATAGCTGGTGCACTAATTAAAAAGTCTTTATTCACAGAAACCAATTCAAACAAGAAGTTTTTGAGGAGAACTTAGAAATGACATCTTAATTTTTTTGTAAACGAGTAGCTATAATTTGTATAACAGTACTACTGCCTGATTAAAAATAAAATATAAAGCTTGGCTGACATCAATACCAGAGCCCAGTTATTAAATGGGAACCATATTTATGATTTTATGTGGAATAGTAGTGGTTTTCCAGCACACACATAAGCCTGTGGCTCATCAGTTCTCTTTAATTATGGGCTGGGTTATCCTACTGTGTGGTAACTACAGCTCCCATCTATACAGCAAAGTTTGATTAAAATAAAACCAGGAACCCCAAATTTAGTGTCCCGCTGTGGACATTGTGATGTTGCTCAGCTTTAACAAGCTTGGGGAATAGGTAAACACTGTACCACTGAAAATAAAATTCCTTATTCCCTTCCTAAAGCTTAATTCAAACTGGGCAGGTGGGCTCAGGCTGGGAAAGGGGGGCAATAAGGATGAGGTATTTCAGGAATGCTGCCAGACAGGTCTGAGTAATTAAGAAGTGCCTCAAGGGTGGAAAAAAACCCAGAGTGATCATAGTTCATGGACTTTCACCGACATGTATTGCTTCCTTATAAAACAGCACACTATCAATAGATTAAGTTCTCGATTAAAACTCCTGTTTCCGACTAATTAACCAGTCATCGAAGTTTCCCATTACATTACCAATTTTTTTTTTCTACGAGCAACACCGCGTCAGAGTGAGCAACTACGTGAATGCGTCAGTTTCCTTAACCAAGAGTCATATCTGGAAGGGAGTGACGAGCAGGTTCAAGAAGCAGCCAGCGTGGACAAACACACGGCATCAACAGTGTCGCAATGCTCCCAAAGTGCCAACACAGTCAGTGTAACGATATGCGGCTAACGTTAGCCCGGCTAACAGCTCGGCGTCAATCCCTACAACAAGCCATCAAACTCGGCTACATTTCATACAGATAGCAGCACTACTTTCCTTTCAACCAGTTACGACGGGATGTGTTTAAACTTACCACTCTGTTCCCCGAGAAAGACCAGTTTAAATTTTCTTAAAGGGTTTCCGAAGTCTCCGGCCGCAGACATGACTGAATATAATGATACTCTCTGAGCTTTCGCAGCAGCCGGTGTCAGTTATTAAAGGTTCACTATCCGCAGCGTTTTACTGGTTTTCCAACGCTGATAAATGGCCACTCGGCGATGCTAGTTGCTCCAGAGCTTCCCCTTGTAGCTTTAATACTTGTTGGATAAGTCAGTCACTACTGTGGCCAAGTTAGCATTACTGCAGTCTCTCTGACTATCTACCAGCTAGCTGGATAACTTCTTCCTTAGACACAAAGTGAACATTGTTCGTGTGAAAATCATGCTGCCCCCTAGTGGTTGAAATAACCCATCATTAGAACCAAGTCAGATCCTCTGACTGAGAAACCAAACGATGAATTTAACCCGAAAAGGCAGGATTTTTTTTATTATTATTTATACTGCTGGGTGTTTAAAACCCTATAGTACTAACTTGGATAAATGCACATTCGTACATATTTTCTACATTGATAAGTACTGGTCTAAAATTTGAATCACAAGTGAAAAGACGTGTTATGCTTTGCTGTGTCCAGAAGGGGGCGGTCGTACACAGCTTAGATTTTACATACTAAGCAACTTCTATGATAATCTAATCATGAGTTCTGCGGAAGCTGGCTTGATTAATGTCTCGCATAATTAGTGACTGATACATCATTTGTTATTAGAGCTAGGCAAAATCTAACTAAACAAGTCTCCTTGTATTTATTACATTTGCAAGTTTTTAAAAATATATATTTGATTATCCAAAATTAATTAACACTTAGCCCTTACCCACATTTTTTAAATCTATATGATATAGATTTAAATAATCTATATTATACAGAGACACTTTTTCTTTTGACAAGTCTTACTATTAATTAAAGGGTTAATACTTTTTTTTTTACCATCTTTTGTTGTCTAGTTCTCATTGCAATTAGCATGTGTGTGCTTCTAAATTCACTGCAGTGGCGCCAGCCTCTGTTGGCAGCTGTGTTTTGTTTTGTTTGTTTTGTTTTAATAAAAAAGAAAGCAAATTGGCCATAATTATTTCTGTGAAGAAATGGAATCGCAGTTTAGGGAAAGCAGTATTTACAGTGGATGTGAAATTGGACTTTTTTGTTCAGTTGTCATCACATTACATTGTGTGCAAGACCCACTGGACTGCTTGTGACCTCCAGTTGATGGGACAGCAGCTGTCTGTTTACAAGATGACTTAGTTCAGAGTGCTTTGCAAAAGTCTTTATGCTACTAAAACTTGTGCACATTTATTACATGACAATAGTGTTAAACAGGGATTCTGTAAGACATTATAGAATGGTTATTCTATCATTTTTAAGTGAGAAGAAAAAAATATATATGGTTTTCACATTTCTTACATTTCACCTTGAAGCCATCATCCTCAGTGTAGCATGGCAGTGGAAACATCATGATGTGCAAATATTTTTTCTGCTGCATTAATGTGGGAAGCTGCAGAAGACTGAGTCAAATGTGTGAAATGTATGTAGGGACAGCGAAGCTCATCAGAGCTGGTGGGAAGTTGAATGAAACTGATTTTATTTGAATGGGGAAATGCATATTAATAAATGTACAATATTGCCATGCTAATTTCCGTCTGTAGTCACATAAAAATGAATGGGAAATGCTGGTATAAAACCCACTTCATAATTATGTATAGTTTTTCCAACGCTCCGTAACATAAAATCTAAAAAAAAAAAAAGTTTGTTGTGACAAAATGTTAAAAAACAGAAAAGACTCCTGCAGAATGCATCGTACACACACCATAAATTAAGTTTTTTCTTACTTACAAATTTTGCGCGCTAAATTCATGGATGAAGTCAGGGCCTAATAAGATGAGTGGTTGTCCCCCAAATGGAAGGTCAGTGCTTTGATTCAAAGTCAAGTGCTCCACGTACAGAGTGCACTTAACATGAAGAGTGCATGTACCGGTAAATAAAGTGAAACAACACGCGTGTGCTTGTGAATGATAGACGTGCAGCAAAATGCTACAGGACCCAGTTGAAAAAAAGAAAGTGTTTTATCAAGTGTTCTGCAAAATAATCCTTCCTTCCTTCAAATTTTTAGCTCTTTGTCATGCTGCAGTCACAAAGGGCTTTTATTGGGTTTTATGTGACAGATTAATGCCAAGAAGTGCATGGCTGTGAAGTGGAATGAAATGATGTTTTATTTTCAAAATGTTTACAGTAAAATCTGCAAAGTTTGGTATATCCATGTTGAGCTGCTCCCCTACAGTGGGACGGCTTATAGCAAAACATATTCATGTGTTAGAATGGCCAAGTCAAAGTCCTGTCCTACAACTGATCAAGAGTCAGTAGTCTTGAAACTGATATTCATCCAATCTGACTGAGCTTAAGCTAAGGATTGCAAAGAATGCCAAAAGTGTCACTTGAAGTGCAAAATTGATAGGAACACACCTGGCTGTGTCTGCAACAGTCCTATAAAATACTGACTCAAGGGAGCTGAATACAAATGTCACACTTTTTTTTTTTTTAGTTTATTCCATTTATAATACATGTTGAAAACCATGCCTAATTTTTTTTCTTCATTTGTCAAAATTATGAATGCTTTTGAGTGGAAAGGTTTTACCACATTTATGCCTGTGTCATAGCAGATATGTGTCCATGTCCATGAGTACAGTATCCGTGTTGCTGTCTGCTTTAGCTCACTCTTCTAGGTCACTGAAAAGACAATATACATCTGTGTCCCTTCATTCATGAGCCATCCAGTTATTTCCGGAGTGCCGACTGGCAGATGCCAGCGCTTCAGCTGCTCTGTTTGAGAGTCGGCCCATGCCAAGCAAGAGCCTTCATCCTCCAACGGCCCAGCTCTCCTCTGTGCTTTAGCACTCCTACACCATATGTCCTTGGTAAAGGAAAGACCCCTTCCCCCCCTTCCGACACCCGTTCCCCCCTCCCTCCCGTCTCTAGTCCCACCACAGAAGATGCTGATCTGGCAAAATCTCTTTGCTGCCCCATCAAGTCCTGATCTTTATCTATTTCCCACATGTGCATTTTCTAAGGTCCCAAAGCAAAAGTGTTTGATTTCACCTTTTTTTCTTAAATAAATATATATAAGGGGGGTTTAAATTCTCAAAAGCATCCCAGGGGCAAACAGCTAAATCTGCTGCCATGACTTTATTCTGGTGCGCTGGTCTCATGTGCTGCCACTGCATCTTTTTTCACTTCTGCAAATCTTGACTCAGTCCTCCAGATGGGAAAACCTTACTATGACTCACATCTTGAGAGCAGCTCAAGGATTCTGTATAATTCAAACTATTGTCCATCCTCTACTTATCTTGGTTGCCTGTATGTGTGCATTTGAGTTTGTTGACGATAAACTATCCATCTGCATGCGTCTGTGGGCGGGCTGGAGGTAGACTGACACATTTCCTTCACCATGTTACCATAAATCTATTGAAGGCAGCTTTCAATGTCATGGCAAAGTACAATACAGCGCTCATTTCTCTAGAGAGGGACAGAGTGTGGGGGGGGCTTTAATGGAGGCTGCACGAAAGAGACGATCAAGAGAGAAAGAACATAAGAGGTCACAAGGGTTGGGTCAGATGGCAAAATTAAGAGACAAATAGGGAATTTGATGTAGGAACGACAGTTTTTCCTTTAATGCTTTTGATCTGTGGCACCTGAAAGAGTTCAACATGCAAAAAAAACCAAAAGGATTGCGGGGCATGGAGGCACTGTTAGATCTCAAATCCGCCCTTTCTGTGCAACATCAGGCAGAGACAGGCACAGCGGCACAGCAGCAGGCATTCTTGCAAGCATAAGGGAAGCAGCGATCAGGGTAGCAATCCAAGCACATTTACCAGAGGAGGCGAGAAGAAGGAGGGAAGGGGAGGGATCGAAGGAGGAGGAGAGGGGATGAGAGGGAGCAGATCTATGAGCGGAGAAGGTACAGAGGAGAAGGGGAGGGAGGAGGCGGGAGGGAGGGGGGTGTTGCATGCTCACAGAGTGTGACAGAGATAGAGCGAGAAAGCAAGGAAGCAGGCTCAGGGACAGAGAGGAGAGCACAGAGCTCCGAGAGAGGAGATGGAGCACTGAGGCAGAGGCAGCAGGAAGGACTGAGATCTGCACGCAAATGTGAATAGAAGAGAGACAGGAGGGAATCAGTGGAGGTGGAAGAGGAGGAAAGGGAGGGGGGGAGTGATGCCAGATGATGGAACCTAGAAACAGGTTGGACAGCTTTCCATTCCTGCCCTCTGCAGCAGACATGACTCTGGGCTCTGGACTGTGCCGAAATTAGCCAGGGGGACGACGGCGGGCAGGACAGAGGGTCTTCGGAGAGCTGCCTCAGGTTCAGTCTTGCTGGATGCAGTAAGGCAGCTGATTTATTACTGAGGGGCTGGGTGGCAGCGTGTTTGCAAGTGTGTGCGTGTGTGTGTGTGTGTGTGCAGGATTTTATGGGTCTGTGTGGCGCTCCAAGCTGCGGGGAGCGACCATTCCTCCAGTCATAAAGTGACATTCAGCAGGCAGGAGCTTTGTGTTCTGGTGTGGGTCTGCAGTCCACCGTAGGAAGTAGGAGAGAGGGAGTCGGAGCTGTCATCGAGCATAAACTATGTGTGTGTGCGCTTACGGTGAGCTTAGTCAAAGTGGATCAGCTCTATGTGTTGTGTGTGAGTGTTTAGGGTAGAGCAGCAAGGGTGCAGCAAAGACAAAGATACACAATGCAAGGACGAGTGGCGAATGACACCAATGGCCGAGAGTGCAGCTGAAGTACAAGGAGTGCCCCAGGGGTAGAAGGGGACGAAGGAGAGAGAGGGAGAGAGAACAGCTAGAGGACAGAAAGAGGAAAGTGGAACAGTGCGAGGGTGATCATGGCTGTCGTACAGTGAGCTATAGCATATGCTGTAGCGCAGAGCGCTGCTGCAGGGGGGAGGACAAGCATCACTGCACTGTGGAGGAGGTACTGGAGAGGTGGTGGGGGGGGGGATGCAGTGAGTTCAGCACCCAGAAAGGGGACGCACCATAGGACAGTCCCAGAAGAAGACACCAACGCCGAGACAAGAAGCCAGGTCAGCGAGTAGAGGTCAGAAAGGACCTGGTGCTCGGTTCAGCCGGTCATAGGCTGGTCCTGCGGGCCAGAGGAAAGCCGAGGGTCCTGTTTCCTGTGACGCCGCTGCTGCCGGTCCATCACCATGGGAGAATGGACTATCCTGGAGAGGCTGCTGGAGGCAGCTGTCCAGCAGCACTCCACCATGATCGGGAGGTAAGGCACTGACCGGCATAAAAAAGTTCCTCTCTCACGTTTGTGTTGTTTCAGTGATATTAACTCGAGGTGTGTGCTTTCATGTACAGTACAGTACCTGTGTTGTTTGGAGACCCCCCCCCCCACCCTAAACCCACAGCTCCTCCTCCAGGCTTGTCCCAGAGCTCTTCCCTCATTTTCTATTTCCACCCTCTCCTCACAATTATCCACCTCTCGCATCGCTAGTTAAGGGATAAACTAATTGCACATAATCAATACCAGGCTTTGATAAGCATTATGGTTAATGCAGAGAGGGTCCTTAGTTGATACTAGCTAATAGCCTGGGTATTGATAGATTGAGCTTGGCCAAAGACCAACAGGACAGAAGGAGGAGAGGGGAGTAGAAGTGAGAGAGCAAAGATGTGGAAGATGAAAGCAAGGTGAGGAAGGTAGAAATCAAAGGTGGGAGAGATCGACATTTGAAGAGTTTTTGTGTTTAACTTTTAGAAAAAGTTTGTTAGCTTCTTATGGCCTGCACTAACCTTCCTCCTTATGATCATAAGCTGGGATAGCTTCTTATGTCCACAGCGAGAACAGTTTGCAGTGATGAGGTGAAGAAGAAAAAAGGTTCTTCTTAGATTGTGAGTCGGGACATGCTGTGGAGACGCTCTGTACAATCTGCGTGAAATATGTGCTCCACATCATCTCTGTGTGATTAATGGGATGCAAAAGTGGAATTTTCCGCTCGACTGAACGCCATCCAAACGTCCCACTTGGATGTTCATTTGGAAAAGTGAACGTTGCCCAGCCTGTGAAACCAGGATGCATCAGAGTGTCATTTGAGAATATTCTCATTAGAAGACAAAGAAAATAGGAAACCTTTGAATCAGTTAATATGGCTGCTCTCTCTTCATTAACCCTGATCACAGGTAGTCTAGAGGGAGGGCATTCGCTAATCTTCTCCTTTCTAATGTGGCTCTTTTCTTACCCCTTGAAGAAGCAGGAACTGGCTAACACAGTGCCCTGCTATTTAAAAAACAACAACATTTTGTCACAATATAACCACAAACTTTAATGTATTTCATTGTTTTTCATTTGATAGAACAATACACTGATGATGATACTGCAGTGCGTTATAAAGCATAAGCTACAAAATCTAAGAAATGTACCATGCAGATTTATTTTATCCCCTTAACCGTGATACCCATAAATACAATCTAGTGCTATCAGGTATCTAAAGATGCCACCTAAACTGTGTGTCTCAGTAACAACTCCACCAGATACTTTTGTCCCTCTAAAGCTTCCATAAAAGCAGGCAAGAGGTGCATTGTAACTTTGAAGGAACTGCAGAGATCGACAGTTCAGGTGGGCGGATGCAATATTACTTGTGCACTCAACAAATCTGGCCTAAAGATGGAAGATAAAGAGCAAGAAGAAAGCCGTTGTATTTTTACATCAAGTCATGCAGGGGACACAGCAACCATGAAGAAGAAAGTGCCCTAATCATCTGAGACCAGACTTTTTTTTTTTGCTACATGCAAAACACCGTGGATGGAAAAGTAACATTTCGAATTACTCTGAAAACACCATTCCCAGTGTGAAACATGGTGGTGGCAGCGTCATGCTGTGGGGATGATTGGTAGAGTTGAAAGAAGGTACAGTTGGTCAGAATGGTGGCTATAACTGCGTACCACATTTTTCATATGATTTTTAAAATATTTATTATATAACAACAACATCAGTAAAAGTCAATAAAAGCAGTATTAAGTCATGTTTATATATTTTTTTTTACTCTACAGTTGTTTGGCACTTTGTGTAGGTCTGTCATATAACATCCAAATGAAATACATTGCAGTTTGTGGTTATAAGTGATCAAATGTGAAAAACTATAATATGTGAAAACTTTTGTAAGGCTCTATACGTACATTATAAATAATCTGCCAAATTTATGATACCGCGACTGCGTCAAAGCAGCACAGATGATGTAGGTCTCTGAGACAGGGGTGGAATATTTTGGGACGTGTGTCCTGTCAGCTTTAGATGTGCCCCTGATCCAACACCAGATTCAAATAATTGAATTATCTCTGCATGTGTGTCCGGCGTGTGGGAGACGCCTACATGCGGGACACCAGCCAGTGAGGAATGAGTGATCTGGACTGAGGCATTCCCTGTGGTAGGGAGTTCCCTTCCAACCAAGAGATTTCAGCCAGTTCCTATTTGTTTACTGAAAGAGGAATGACCTATGGATGGTCTAATGTTTTGGTGGGATGAAAACCTGCAAACCAGCTTGATTTAGAGGTGAATTAAGCAATATCTTGGTTCATATAAATCACAAGTTTCCTTTCCACTCTTGGTTTCGTTGCCAATTCTCAGCAAGCTACTTCTAGACCTGAATCGCTACCCAGACATTTTTCTAACTCTGAGCATCAGCCAAAGCAGAGTTGGCTGTTGAGCAGGAGCTAAGACGAGCTTGCCCACCTTCGTGACAATTTCACCAAACTTGGAGAGCTGGTGAAGGAAGTCGGCCCTTTAGGAAAACAAAATGGTACTCATATTTTTCTCCTGAGCCAGAGGAGCAAACAAAGGCTAAAGCGACAGTGAATATTGGAATTACATTCAACAGGTGGCCAGACAAAGGAGACCAAAGGGATGTCCGTGTTGCTCTGTTTCTGCTGGATATGTGAGTAGGCAACTGTTTGCTAATATGTCAGCCATAACAACTTCATAAGCTAGATGCTAACTGTTGTGAACATGTTTTGGAGTCTTTCCGCCCCCTAGTGGTCAAAATAAAGAGAAAAAAAAGAGACTTAAAGCAGCTTTGAAATCCTGTCCTGAATAAATGAAGGCTGAAAATCAATCTCTGGATAATTCAAGCCACCTACAGTCTTACAGAGGCACAGAAGCAACTCTCAATTTGTCTGCTACTTCTCTCAAAAATCATAATGAACACTCTGAAGATGTAATGCTTTCCTGTAACCTTCAGGCATGTGAACATTATAAAAGGTTAACTCATTTAAAAAAAAATAAAGTACCACAGTTAAGGAAGCAGTGCTTTTCTAATTGGTGCAGATCAATTCTCCATGCCTTTTTTTTGTCTTTCAGTGTTGAGAACTATCATACAGAAAGCTTTCTATATGACATAAATTTAGCTATCTAAACGATCCCATGAGCTAGAGAAAACAGCACTCCCCTCCCCTCCATAGGGAGTAGTTTTACAGCAACCACAGCTATGCGATACAGTGCTGATTACGCTGAGATGCTTTGTAAATAATCCCTCTGTATTTGGCCTCCCTCAGACTGTGTTTGTCCTACATGGCTCTTTCTAGTTGATCTCAGGGTATTAATTGTTACATTAGGAGCTTCCCAGTCTGTCTTCGATTCACTTTGACTAGGAAATAGGAGACAAGCTATATTGTCTTTTGTATTCACGTTGTACATCATTTTTGGTCATAGATCCCTGAATTTTTTTTTTTTTTTTCATGTGTTTTTGATATCTAGCCTGTCTGCAGGAAACCCTAATTAAAAATAGTGAAGCGTACAGTAATTTCCATAATATAAGTATTTAACTAGATTATTGCAGCTTATCATGAATCGATGGTCTGGATCTGGGCTTTCTACCTATAGAGAGGCAATTATTTATTTATTTATTTATTTATTTATTTTTGCAGTTTTAACAAATCTACTGAAGATAACAATTTGATTCCAAATCCTAAGCATGTGTCTGCATGGTCAGAACATTACTGACACCTTCCACATTAAATTATGACACTGATGTCTATGGACGTACCAGCAAATTGGAGAATTGTTCACCACTGGCACGGTTTTGTGCTGTGGAGGTGCCTCTTAGATTGTTACTGAGCCACTCCACACCAAATTACATACAAATTTACGCACTGACCTCTATGGGTTGAAAGGTTCAAGTCTACTGCACCACTGACCACCCCCAGCGGTTTAGTTGGGGGTGGTCAGGTGTGCTCCATTGCACTTGTGAACATAAACAACTGTGATGTACTGTGGCACCGTTGTGCATTGTGAAGCCTAACACTTCACAGGGTGTGGCCAGAGCATGCGGCCACTGTCGGAAAGACCGCATCACGACTTAGGAGCGTCCAGCCTGTGTGTGTCGTTTTTCCTTTTTTTGTTTTCAACAGTTCTGCATGTGTGTGCCTGCAGCACAAACACTGTGTGTTTCCCCGAGTAGAAATAGAAGATGTTTCCCTTTGACTGAAAAGTCTTCCCCGCATCACCCTGAAAACACGGTTGCATGCCTGTCATCTTTTTTGGAGCGCCAATCAACAAATGTAGCTCCTCTGTTCGAATGACTAGACTGTCTGATGAAGCTACAATTAAGCTGATTCTTAATTGTAGGTTTTAAGCTAACCTATGCCCAGGCATAGGACAGGTAATTAGCCCAGGAATACAGAAATAGAATCGGACCATCTTCATGGCGCGGCATAGGTTAGCTTAATTACGGTCTTGGAAGGAGAATGACAACTGAGAATTGCTTCTGTGCCTCTGACTAACCACAGGTGCTGTGCGTATGGGTGACTCATTCAGAGAGTGATGTTATGTATTGCGATCTGACTGGTCTGTGTACAGTGTGTGCATGGATAACCTAAGTCTGTAATCATGACTACGCAGATAAAGGAAGCATTGTCAAGGCTGCAATAACCCTGTTTGCAGATCAGAACCTTGTGCTTAAAGTTACAACGATGTGGGACTTTGAAGCATTAAATATGTTGAAAATAAGCCGCAGCCTGTCTCAGCTGCTCTGTCAGTTTGGGGAATTAATGACATTTTTGGTTGTAATGGGCAGAGGGAGCTTCCTAAGAGGACAGAGCCAGAGCTATTTGTGCACTCTATGTATTTAATTAAAATACATGCTTACAGAGATATTCCAGCCTATTTGATTAGGATTCATAATGGAAAGTACTTAAGTAGCATTAGTCAGCACCGTGCTGCCTGTGCTGTGCCTTGTGTGGATCTCTAAATGCATAACTGTCACAAAAATGAATAACAGATTTTATACTGAGGGCACAGCTGTCTTAAATTGATTTGGCAGCCTTGATAATGTTGGTGGTCGTTTTGTGTCTCATGGGTTTATACATAATTTATTGATGAATCTTCTATGTTTCCACCTCTGTGAAAAATGTACAAATCCTGATTTGTTCATAAAAGGTCTTGAATTTTTTTTTTTCTTTTCAAAAATAACCCTTAAGATTCAGGATTTCTTTTTGTCATATTACAATCACGGCTTTAAAGTTTTTGATTGAAATTTTATCTAACAGACCAACACATAATTATGAAAGATAGGACACATAGTTAGATCTGAAAAGTGTGGTGTGTACTTCTGAGTTGATGGTTTCTAAAACCTCCTTCAGATGAAAATACAGCTGCAGCTAGGGGTTTTGGAAAGCTTTGCACAACTGGAGACAACTAGAGTTGATGGAATGCAATAACACCTTCCAAGTCTTGCTACAGCTTCTCGATGGTCTGGACTTTGACTAGGCCATCTAGACATGGATATGCTTTGATCTAATCCATTCCATTGTTGCTTTGGTTTTGTATTTAGGGCTCATGTCCTGCTAAACCCAGTGCCAAGTGTTTTGCAACCTCAAACTGGTTCTTTTCCTGGATTGCCCGCTCTAGCTCCAACCATTTTCTCATGACGTCGACCATCTCTTCTGTTATTCTTGGAGAGAAGCGTCTCTCACAGCATTGCTATACCAATTTTCCATTAAAGCATATTTTACAGGGTGCACAACTAGTTTATTTCAATAGAAAAAAACAAAACAAATGTAGACCCACATTTTCATGCTGGTATTTGTGAAAAAATTTCAAAACCGTGTATTATTTTCCTTTCACTTCACAATCACACACTACTCAGTGTTGGTCTATCACAAAAAAGATATCCCATAAAATGCATTTAAGTTAGTGGTTGTAATGTGACAAAGTGTTAAAAGTCCAAGGAATAGTCTATTAATAGTTCTTGCACCATACAAGTGATTTTTTTTTTTTATACACACATTACAATTTGTACATAATGCAAATACAGTGCTTGTTCCTGCAGGGAAAACAAATGCTTATTAACTGCACTGATCTGCCAAAAGGATAACTAAATGTGGATGGCTGGAGTCTAGCATCTCCCACCATCTGCTTTTGTTCGATTTTTTTTTTCATCCCCCTGTGTGATGTCAGCTATGCAGAACAGTAACACAATACTGACAATAAAAAACCTAAGCCATTAGCTCTAACACACAGCGTACTTGAGAAAAAAAAAAGTATTTACATAATACATAATGCACAGGTTAACCAAGGGTTACCCAGCGGATGCTCCTTAATGTAATAGGATTTGATGTCTTGCAGGTAGGGGGAAAAAAAGGGAAGGGAGGAAGGAAAGAAAGGAAGAGTGTCGATGCATCTTCAACAAGACTGCAATGCTGTAGTCACGCCAGCGCCAAAGACTAATAGAGGAGTAAGAAAGCACACGAGGCAGCAATAAATGGAAGCATAGAAGGATCTAAGGAAAGATCAAATGATAAAGCCTGCCAATGGATAAAAAGGAGAAGTTGTGGAGATAGAACAACAAAAAGAAAAAAAAAACTGCATTTAGGGAGAGTAGGACGCAGAGGAAGCAGAAAAAGTTTTCTCTCCGCAGAGGCTCGGTCCAGGGAATCTGTGTCAGAGCTGCTTCCTTTTGGAGCCGGTGCTGAAATAAAGAGAAAAAGAGGCAGATTATGTGTAACATGAATTTAGGAGTTTAGCTAAAAAAAAACAAAAAACTTTTTGGTATGCTAATTTCTTACTCAGCATATATAAGAGGCATTTTTGTGTAAAATAAAGTTGGTGTAAATGTCCAAATCAGTCCCCCCCACTTCATATCCTATACAAGCATAACAAACTCAATCTATTATTTATAATCTATCACTTCTCACTTCAGCATTAGAAGTCATAAATTCTTAATAAATGTTGTGCGCTGCCTGTTTCGAGTTGCAACACGTGTCAAGTCATTCATTAAAAATGGATGCAGAACTGACCGGCCTTTTTATGCGGAGAACAAAGTGGCAAACGAAACGCCTCGCTGCCGCGAAAGCTCGGAAAAAAAGGGAAAGGAGAGCCGCGCAATGCTGGATGACACTTGGAAATCCTTGTTTGCTGAATTTAAGAGCAGAAAGCACACAGTGTCTGCCGCTTTTCACTCTTGTGGGTTTTAAAGGACACATTCTCTTCACTTTTCCCCTATATGGGTCAGGATATCCACAAGACGGAAGTACCCTGCATTAAGGAGGGCACTCTAGTTCTCCTAAAATAATCCAAGACACAAGAATGCTCTGCTAGAATTGAGGGCATCACCATATCAGAAACACGAAGACGGGACACATTTCATGTAACTTTCAAAAGCCTTACTCTGAGAAAGACCCGTTCTGCCGCAGAGAGGGATTTTGATGCAAAGGGGAACATTGTCACCAATATTCAAGCGACGGGTTAGAAATCGTAATCCATCATCCACTGCTGCTGTGATTTGAAATGAAGTGTTTCTGCATGCGTCCAGAGTCGCCATTGCTTTATTTGTGCAGTAATAGCTGATGCTGAATATCATTGATTATTCTATTCGACGGGGCGATTTTTGCAGATAAGCAGAGTTCGGCTTTAGTTCAGCACCGGCTGTTATTCGTTTTAGCAACCAATCAGCAATGTGTCTTATTTGTGCAGATTTTATAAGGCGCTACGTATGTGAACTCTATGAATCACATGCATGATTCATATTTCCATAACTTGGCACATGTAAGGAGGCATTTACAACTCCCAAGCATCCATGTCAGTACATTACTGCTTGTTCTATTGGACTGTAAGCTGATTGAACTGAGTCTTTAGAGATTACCTGGCAAAGACTAACAATAGGAGTCTAACCAAATCAATGAAACTGCCTGTAAAACAAACCAACCTTTCAAACTGCGAGAACTAAAGAATCTGTAACTGTACGTAACCCTCCATCCATCGGGGAAAAAGCAGGAGATTAGTTTTTTCCCTGCACTAATGTTGAGCTCCATATACGTAAAAACAGATATTTACTTTCTTGCAGATTTCAAAAATCATAAATTACCAAAAAAAAAACAGCGGTGATTAGCCAATTTCAGGTTAAATTTCACGACCCATGCACAGTCCAGCACAGTAAAATAACACTTCATTACCGCTGCATCCCACTTAACAGACTCACCAATGATGTTGCAGAATCCAGTTTTCTGGAGAGCAACAGCTATTTTATCAGTACATACAGTTTTTATTAAACTCACGTTTTCTCCTGCTGACGATGTTTTCATAGGGCTAAGTGCTAGGCTGGTGGTAGAATTTATTCTCTCTGTTTTGGTATGACTTGTTGATATTTTGGCCTGTCAGATATTTCAATAAAGTTTGAGGAGGTCACCTGTAGACAAATGAAAGATTTTATGGTTCCCTTTAAACGATAAAATTTAATGGCTAATGTTTCAGCCAAGGGCAACACAGGAGAGGCTGCATGGCACAGACAAACAGGAAGTGAATGTCACTGTCAAGGATATCGCGCAGCTTGTTGGGCTGAATCAGCAAAATAATATGCATATTCTGTTATAAAGTTCTGCAAACTGTAGCATTTTTAAATACAGCATTATAGCTGGGTTCAAACTGAAAATGTATGTAAAATTATTCCCATTGATAAAGCAAGATTAATTTGAGGGGTATACACGCTCAAAATAAAAAAAATAATTCAATAAGGATCTTAGTGGGTATTTGCATTTCCTGTCAATGGCTCGTGGGTGTTCCTCTCAGTCATGCACAGTAAATCAAATATGTAAAAAATATGTGGCCGTACACCACAGTCGGTTTTGACGTAGATCTGATTCGAAGCTTTCAAGTGTGAGCTGAGTTTCTAAATAACATGGAGGAAAAAGCGAGGGAGAAATATTTAAATGAGCTTTCGATTGTTGCTTTCCTTTCTGCTTTCTGCTAATGCTATCATGTGCACGAAATCAGAACGAGGTTGAACCCGTTTCTACAGAGCTGTTTGTTATGTCTGATTTATATTTTGCAGCAGGGCGATGACTGTAAAATAAAGATTAGGGTTTTCCACCTGCTGCGACTTGGAGTAAACCATCATAAATGGTCAAAGTAACAGGAAAAGCATTGAAAAAGTCGATTGTAACAATGGCTGTAATCCCAATCAACATTTTTATATTGCTTAATGAGAGGGGCAGACATTTTGACATTCCATTTTGTGTTAAATTATTTGAATTACATTGTTCATCACAACATTACGTAGTATAACCAAAGGTAGACAAAACAGCAGGGACTGACAGATCCTACATCAACAGCAACTTGTTTTTTAGGGTCACACAGGCAAAATCTCTGCGTTGAAAAATTCACAGCTGAACTTGTTTCAAGCTACGAAAACTGTAGCGAGTGAGTTGCCTGACAGCTTGAACTCCCTGTGATTTACTTTGGTGAAGTTTTTTTTTTTTTAATTTTCCCTGCAAAGCTTTAATTTTGAACAAAATTATTCATGGACATTTCAGTGTTAATGTCAGATCAGATTTTCTTCCACATCCTCGGAGACCCGTCCACATCTTCGCTTTCTCCTGCACAAGATGGCCAAGTGGGGCTGAGCCAAGCCGGTCGAGTCAGGGTCCAATATGACAGAAGAGGAAAACATGTCCGGGTCATCTGCTTCAGCTTTGTTCAGAGTACAACAAATAACAGATAACGTATTTTTGTTTAATTCAAACTAACATGTTTAAGGAAAAAATATATATATTATTGGAATATTTTCTACATAAATGGCTGCAGAAAGGTGACATTTAATTTAGCAAATGATTTTAATGGTGGATTGAATGTTTCCTAAAAACAAAGGGGGAGGTGAAGAAATAAAAGTAAAGCAATCACAGACTAATCTCCAAAAATAAATGTTTTGCTCTGAGTTAAAATCGTATTCCTGACATGTTTGTCTCAGAAATTCTGACGAGCAAATAAATGATTTATGGAATATTTTTTAAAAGCACTCATTTTGATCCAATCAGCATAAAGTGCTGGTTTGGACTCAAATGGAAATGCTGGTGTGATTCATTTGAAGCTTTATTTCAGATGTTCTGTACGCACAGGCATTGGCGTTCTTCGCTTGAATAGAAATGAAAGGGTAGTTTCAGGTGACATAAAGACAAATGAGATGTGGAAAAGCCGGACCTGGTGTGCGCCGCAGTCATGCATGGTTAGGCTGTGGAAATGACAGAAAAGCTGTGTTTAATCACAATCCTTTAGCTATTTCTTTTTTTTTTTTTACCTCATACCTGTTGGGCACCTCAATCTTTATTTTTCCTCCTTTTTCGCGTTCTTTATTCCTGTTAAACAGCTGGAGTTCAATTCCCTCAGAGATGCTGAATGAAGTAGTGAAATACTTCTCTGTGACTATTAATTCTTGTTATACGAACAAAACCTAGAGATTTTAATTCTAAAATCATAAGGAAACAACAGAATCTCTTACAAATCTGTTAATTGAAGCGCCTCAGCTGATGGAGCACAAATTTAGCCCATATTAAAAGTAATTGTTGCGCCCACTCTCAGCGGCACCCCTGGCTGCCGGCTTCACTGCCTGATACGTGGGCAAAGCCTGAAACTATTAACAGTTTAAGAGGGGAGTGCGGATGAGGAAATGAGGGATGGGAGAAAAGAAATGTCTGCGCTCTGATAATTAAGCTGCCTAATTTTGAGGCCTGGTAAGGTCTTTATTCATTACCCAGTGCCATCAGTAATCAGTGGAGCTTATTATTGAGAGCTTATGGGCGGGAGGGATATTTTTACCAACTCTAATCGCGAACACCCTTCCAGAAACTTTTGTAATAATTTACACCTTAAGTTTTGTTGCTAAAGGTGCAGTAAGTTAGTTTTCTGCTATGTAAATTATTCTCAATATGAACGCTCTCTTGAGTTAAGGTTTGGTTTTGAGCATTAGTGACCTGACAGCATCAAGAAAACCAAGAAATACAGAAAAAAGGTTAGGGAAAAAGTTATTGTGGAGCAAAATGATATATTTTTTAGAAAGATCCTTGTAATTCTGTGGTAACAAACCAAGGCTCGTTGAACTTGATCTATTTTTAGATTAAGAAAATTTAAGTTGATGTCTTTGAGAATTTACTAAAAGTTAAGAGACATTCTTGCTGCTTTTTTTTTTATAGCTGTAAACAAATACTTCACATCTCCACGAAAGCACAAACCCCACTGCAAAATATGGTGGTGGCAGTATCATACTGTGGGTACGCTTCCTGACACATGGAAGCTGGTTAGAAGAGATGGGAAGATCAGTGGAGTTAAAATCTTCATATTTCTGGTAACTTTTAGTAATTGAATCACCTAATTTTGGGGCGGGGTGAATGCTTCAGGACCGATTCTCTGATTCTGCATGCACAGAATGTTTTACATGTTTTAAAGCAAGCAACTATTTTATGCGAGAGGGAAAAGCAGTGTGTTTGCTGATGCATCTGCTCTTGTGCCATAGGGGGGCTCTGTTCTCCCTGAAGGCCTTCGGCAGCAGCTGTTGTATGAATGAAGTTTTTTTGTTTGTGTGTGTGTGTGTGTGTGTGTGTGTGTGTGTGTGTGTGTGTGTGCGTGAAAGCCTCTGGGAAAGACAGGGCTTGCATGTCCAGCCAACACACCAGCTGAAGAGCAGCAAGCATAAAGTGAAACACAAATCACGCAGGTCAGTCAGCAGACTCGTTCGAAGGGTTTCTTGAAGCGAAGCGCGACGCCCGTATCTCCGCTTCCTCCACTTGTCGTCCCTCCAGACCTTTACTTCTGCTTGCCCACAAGCCGCTGTCGGTCTTTGAAGTTTTAGGAAAATGCCAACTGTCGTCTCTGCGGCACAAATAGATAAAAATGAGAAGCTCTGAATGTGAAGCCACGTGGGGCGGGGGGAGAATGGGAGACACATCAGTTTTCTTCAAATCCTGAAACGTCTATTGGACAGCGATGGGGGATTTCAGAGGCCTCTGAAATTATAATCATTAGTCTCAACTAAGAGGCAGTCCTCTGGGAGGAAGGCAGCTAAATGAGGTGATGAGAAGGAGACTGATGTGGGTGATCTTTTTTTTTTTTTAACCCATCACTTAAAGAACCTTTTGCTGAGGGATCCATTTGTTGAAACGCCTGAATCTTTTTCATGTTGTCTTAAGCAATTTTGCTCAGCAAGTGAGTTTATTTTTAGAGCATTCCCTTGGGGCGTAAGAACACTTAAGATTCTGAACCCCCCTTTTTTTTCATTAATTAAATGGGGAAAAAAAGGGGGGTTATTGAATATTCTGCAGGTTCAGGCCTCTGGGCTTTACTGTCCTGATCTGCTCCAGCTAACAGTATTGGCTTGTTATTCTGCGGGACTTAAAACACTGATGTTTGCAGATAACCTCAGTGCACTGCGTTCTGCTAATGCAGCAATCCGCCTCATGCTGATTATCCTGTTACCCAGCGCTGGTGCACGCACGCACACACACACACACACACACACACACACTTTGTGTGTTTTCAGACGCTTGAAAACACACAAAGCGTTCAATACATGCAATGTCTTGGGATTTTTTCTTTTCTTTTTTTTTTTTTATGACAAAAATTGCTTCAGCACAGACTGAATGACCGTAGCTGCAGTATTGAACATCCACAGGTTAAATCTGCAAAGTAACCACTGAGGTGAACAAAGCTGCAGTGAGAAAACCGCAGCCAGAAACGGCTGCCGGCACTGCGACGTCAAACAAAAGGTTTACCCGCATTTGTCCTCAATAATATTGCAAAAGATCCAATCAATTAGACACATCAGTTTTCTCACTTCAAAATATTCTATTATTGTTTTAAGAAACAGATGTAAGTTAATTAGATCAGAGTTATAAAGTGAAAGAAGAAGTGTATAAATACAAATATTTTACACAGGACAAAATATGAAAAGTGTGGTGCCATTTGTATTCAGCCTTTCTTACCTTAACACCCCTCAATAAAATCTAATATGATTAACTGTTTTGGAAAAATTACTTCCTTGGTATATAAAGGATACATGTACATGAAACAGAATAATTATGGAAGAGTACCAAGAACATAAAGCAATGTTGGAAAAAAAAAGCCGTATAGCAACATGTTGAAGAAGGCGTTCTGCTCAGATGAGATCCAGACTGAACTTACAGTAAGATAAGGTGGTGGCAGTATGATGCTTTGGAGAAGAGAAGCTTGCCACAGTTTATGGGCGGGTAGATGGAAAACAAACAAACAAGCAGCCAGACCTTTAAAACCATTAAAAAAATAAAATAAAATAAATTATGGGTTACTTTCTGTTGGTCTTAGATTCAAAATCCCAGTAACATACACTGACGTGTGTGGTTGCAACTGATCAAATTGTCAAAAAAAAAGAAAAAAAAGTACAACACAGAAGAGTATTTCTGCAAAGCACTGCAAGTAGCTTATTTAAAAAAAAAAAAAAAAAAATCTACTTGGTATTTATGCAGCCGCTTTCCGCTTACAATACGCATAAAAGAAGGATATACAAGAAAAGCATAAAAAGAGTTACGAACACATGTTCAAACCTGACATGGAGGTAAAGAGCTTAACAAACCTCTTCACAATTTCAGCAACAGATTACAGAGCTGCTGCTCCCTCACGTAGGATGTGGTAACTGCTATTCTTAACATAAATAAGTAAAACACATAAAGAAAGAAAAAAATCTTTTTTGACCGTTTTGATACAGTATGAGTCATACTCTTGAAATATCTCTGAATACTGCAGATGTTTCTGTTTTATTTTCAGGAACTGAAAGGCGTTCAAGCCTCCATGAGTTCAGATCGTCACACGCTTGTAGTTTACGGTTAAACCTCCGATTCCTATCTGATTCTATTTCACTTAATTTTATAATCTAAGAAGATAAATCACCCGATGTGAAAAAAACAATTCTATAAAAACATATGTCATCATGTCAGGGACTTGAATTGTCTTACACCATCTGTGTAAAGGTTGTAGATTGTGTAACAGATCGCAGCAGCTTTAATTAAAATGAACAGCATACCGGTTAGTTTACTTTAAAGTACTAACAAAAGGCTCGCAGTATATGTGAGGTGAGAGTGTTTATAAAAGGAACGAAGCCACAAATGAATGCACACAGAAATGACTCTTGAGAGTTCAGACCACCACTAATTAAACCTCGGACCAGGCCACTGGTTTGCACCGAACATCTTGCATATTTCCAGTTGACTGCTAAGTGGTTATATGCTAAATTACGTTGCAGGGATCGTATACGTTGTTGATTATTGGTGAAACAAGCCATCTGTTGCGAAACAGCTTCTGTAATAGATCAGACAGAAACAGAAGCAACACAACAAAATCGTTTCCGCGTCAGAAAGCCGCCTCGTCTTTGAGTTCTTCACCATGTTAGCGTTGGAGGTAGGGGACTGAATTAGTTTTACCACGCAGTATGTGTGTAGTCTTTATTGACAAGGGGAAAAAGGTTGATTTTTAACTGAAACGCAATGTAACTTTTGTCGATTAAAACAGAATGTGAACAAATATTACAGTTAAATATATGCAACCAAAAACGTTCATGTCTGCTTGCATCAAATACCGAGTGGAGGTTTTCTATGCGAGGGAAATGGCTCTCCACCCAGAGTGTTATCGTATGTATGAGCGTTACACTGTTCAGCACCATAAAGAAAACGCTGCCCGACTGAGTGTTCCTGCATGTGTTTGCATTTCCACTAAATGGGAAATAGTTGCCCCCATGTTGGGGCACATTGCAAGCACAGTTTTCAAACACAGTTTCCATTTCCAAAAACAAAACTAAAAGGGAACTGTTCAAAATTATTCAGAGCTTTACGCAAGAAACGGCCAAAGGTGCATCAGTTTCCACTCAAACGCTTCGCTGCCGAACCTCCTGATCCTACCGAGGCTGAGCGAACAGAGCCACGACGCTTCATGTAAATTACATGCAAGATCTTAAATTCAAAACATGCAGGGAAGCTGCGCTCAGTCGGGTTATCAAGCACACTCAGAGTCAGCGTAGCATAGGCACTCACAGCTGCTTTGAGCACAGGCTGCTGGATGTGTTCACCATTTTGCACACATGGCTGAGTCTTTCTCTTTGTTTCTGCATCCCCGAGTCTGTCTTTAAAAAAAAAAAAAGTATCACACACAAGCTGATAAACACAGGTGGGGCAGAAACAGCCGTAATGCAACACTGCTCTATTTTAAGTCTGCTTTATGTCAACACATGCTCCTCTCTGCTCTTATCTTCACCTGCCTCTCACTTTGCTTTAACAAGCTGTCACCCCAGTCACGCTCTTCAGAGACGTTTATTATTTCCCTCCCCTAGGAAACCTGGATTCAGACACTTTCCCTTCGCTTTTATCAATCTTTGCAGTGCTTTTTTCCCCCTAACTTTGTTCTTTCCTCCTTCCAGAATTTTCCCCCTAGTGCAGGTAGAAAGTGTGGCAATCCACTTGTTCGTAAAAGAGACATCAATACCGCTTCACTTTAACCCTCCCTAGAAGCACGGATCCTTAGTGAATGCCATCTTCCAGGGGTTTTCTAACCTATTTTCTCTGTCCCCTAACTTGCACAGTGAGTGTCCCTGTTGTGCGCAGGAGCAAGTGTTTTAAAAGTGATTACCTCCTCCATGCAGGAGGGCTACAGGCACATCCTCTGCATTGTGGCGTGAGTATCGGGGAGCCCCCGTGATGCGCAGGCTTTCCTTGCTCATTAAAAAGAGCTGAGTGTGCAGCCCTAAAGCCCCAGTCCTCCTCCGCAGTGCCCAAGCTGGATCGACACCAGAATGTAACAGTGCAGCACATCAGTCTCTCAGAGGCCTTAAAAAGCAGCTGCACCACTCTGTAGCTCTGCTGCTCCCCGGACACGGCTTTCTATAACTGCAGCAGCGCTCTAATAATGCTCAATGGGAGGTCCTGACAGGTTTTAGAACAGCCACCCTCGACAGCTCAGCATTTATGCGTCGGGGAGAAAAAGCTGACAATAGTTTGACGACGTGAGTCTTGAAGGAGAGTCTTTGTTTTAACAAGTACAAAGAATTTAAAAGCGATGCGTTGCCAAAAGCGCTTAAACTGTGATGCTTAGACGTAGATTAAACCTTTCCTGGTGGCCATGAGGGTCAAAGTGCAGCAGCATGTAGAAAACCCTTCAGTGTAACAGAGAAGTTAATTGCGATCATTGTTGCAGTTGCGGTAAAAAGAGAATACACCATCAATAAGTTTAGCGGTTTATTTGTGCATGATAAAGGGTTTTGCTTCCTCCTTGTTTAATAAATAACAAGGTGGTGGAATCTAAGATTTGTGGGGTTTTTACACTTAAAAAACATTAACATAAAAAGTGAACATCTGAAGGTCCGTTCGTTTAAATGTTAAAACCCAGAAGGTTTTACCATGAATTTACCATTTACATGTCTCCAGGGGATTCGTTCACATTAATTCAGGTCAATTCAACTCGATTTAACAGAAAACCGCTTACAGCGCCAACACTCAAGTCACATGCCAGCCCACTTTAAAGAGGAGAACTACATTTGATTCAGTTTGGATCAAGCCAATCTCTTCCTGCAGCACAAATCATGTCAAACCAGAAACAATTTCATTTACATAAAATCCATGTAATTCAACTAACTTGGATTTGGTTACTAAATTTTAATTTCAGATAATTTAGAACTTCAGTCAGTGCAATCAGCTCCTCTGAGTGTAGTTAATCAATTCATCACTGTTCGGTTCAGTTCCTTTCAATAGAATATATTGCTACTCAACTCAGCTAAGATCAGTTGAATTCAGTTTGGTGAGTTTTCTTATTGCACCAGGACACAACCAGTTACTGTCAATGAAGCTCAATTCAATTCACTTCAGCCCAATTAGATTCAATTTAATGGAGGCAGAATCAGTACATGCCTCGTCACTTTAAAGAAAATAAAATCAATCTGATTAATTTTGTTTTTAATTAGGTGTTTTAAGCACAAATACATACACAAATTGTTCAGCTAATTTCTCCAGAACTCAGTCTTTTAAGTTTGTTTAAACTAAATTAATCTCAACTATGCTTATTTCAAGAATGCTCATTGTAATGTCCAAGTGAACAGAATTGAGTAAAGTTTAGTTTATTTCAGTTCATTGGAAATTAACTAACAGCAGTTAATTTAAACCCAACTCAGTTCAGTTCAGTTTATCTGAATTTAGGTCAACAGCAACAACTTTTGTTCTATTTATTACAGTTCAGTTTATTTTCACTTTGATTGAATGTTGAATGAAATTCAATTAATTAAGTTAAAATAAACTTAAAATTAAGTCACTTTAAGCTATTTATTAAAAAAAAATCAATTCAGTTCAGTTTAGTTCTGTTTAACTTCACATCCTATTTGTTTCACATCGAGTCATGCATTTATTTGTTTCTGTGTTTTCTGCAAAGTTTCTGCTTGATTGATGTGTTGAATCAATCACATCAATCCATTTTGTTCCATTTCGAAGGTTAAAGCTACTTGCTACAGGGAAAAAGCCATTTTAACTGTTATATGTAAAGATTACATATCTTAAGAGAAAGTGTCAACCTCTTCTGTTTTACTCTCTTGATCAGTGGTCTAACATGAACACAGTTTTACTGCATAGTTTGTTTCAGCATCTGAATAGTCACAGGATTGAACACAAACACAAGTAGTCTAAAACTTACTTTCTTGCTGAGTTTTCAAGTGATTAGTGACTAATAAAATTATTTTTATAGCTTCAGCTTAGAAAAAGTAAAAGTCACGAGCAAAAGGAAAAAATAATTTAGAATATAGTGAACAAGAATTTCAGCATCTAAACTGAACAGTCTCACTCACACAGACAGGTTTCCCAGCAGATTGGCACATCTGCTCCTCATTAACTGATGTCGTCTTTCTCCGCTCCCCTGCCTGCCTGTTCCTTCTTCTTTTGTGTCTCTGCAGGATCCTGCTGACAGTGGTGGTGATCTTCCGTATCCTCATAGTCGGGATAGTGGGCGAGAAGGTGTATGAAGACGAGCAAATCATGTTTATCTGCAACACCATGCAGCCCGGCTGCAACCAGGCTTGCTACGACAAGGCGTTCCCCATCTCGCACATCCGCTACTGGGTCTTTCAGATCATCCTGGTGTGCACGCCGAGCCTGTGCTTCATCACGTACTCCGTCCACCAGTCCGCCAAAGCGCGTGACCGCAGCTACTCCCTGCTCCACTCGCACATGGACCACCACGGACACGGTCACCACGGTCGCCACCACGACCACCACGTTCGCAAACTGCACTCCCGCAACATCAACGGCATCCTGATGCACCCCGAAAGCAAGGACGACCACGACATGGACGTCAAGGAGATCCCCAACGGACCCCGAGGGGCCCTTCCCACGCACAAAAGCTCCAAGGTGCGGCGGCAGGAAGGCATCTCCCGCTTCTACGTCATCCAGGTGGTGTTCCGCAACGCCTTGGAGATCGGCTTCTTGGCCGGCCAGTACTTCCTGTACGGCTTTAACGTCCCGGGGATGTTCGAGTGTGACCGCTACCCCTGTGTGAAGGAGGTGGAGTGCTACGTGTCTCGTCCGACGGAAAAAACTGTCTTCCTGGTCTTTATGTTCGCTGTGAGCGGCATATGTGTGCTGCTCAACCTGGCCGAGCTCAACCACCTTGGATGGAGGAAGATAAAGACGGCCATCCGGGGTGTGCAGGCCCGAAGGAAGTCCATCTGCGAAGTACGCAAGAAGGACGTCTCACACCTGTCCCAGGCCCCGAACCTGGGCAGGACCCAGTCCAGTGAGTCAGCGTATGTCTGACAGAGGCTTCTCCGCCTGGGAGCTCGAGGACCTTTGAAACTTTGGACGAGAGCTTTTCCCCGGCCTGCTCAGTAGGACACAAGACTGGCCACTGAACCCTGACTGGTCAAGCGCACAGACTCTGTGCAGTCACAACAACACGACATGTCACCCAAAAGAGTTTTTGACACTTGAAGACAAAAAGAACCACCCGTGAAAACTTGTATGTCCAGTTTTCTGACCTCTGACCTCTCCCTGGGTGACATTAGGTGCTTTCAGAGAAACTAACACTGAAACTGAGCATTTACAAATAACACTGAGATACTGTAAAGATAGTCTGAGGTTGAAAAATCTACAGTTCTTTCTTAGTTGCCTTTGCTGTAGGTCAGAAAAAGAAAGATGATGTAATTTTTTCCATATGTGCATATGCAAGAGCTTACGCGAGTGCGTGCATGCATGCATACGCAGGAGAGAGAGTGTGTGTGTGTGTGTGTGTGTGTGAAGCTGAATGCTAAATTATTCTGAATTACTGAAAGTAAGATAGTTATTTCTCATTGTTGGAGAATAGTCACTTGATGGATAAATAAGCACCTTTTTTCTTATACGACCATAATCTACGAGCACTAGAATGACCCGTGTGAACTGGAACACAGTATTTGTGTTGTATTGTTGTTGTCGCTGCAGGATTTTTGTTTTGGGGGGGAAAAAAGAAAAAAAAAAACGTCACACTTCGTCATGTGCTTTGATGGATCAGATGCCACAAAGAACACGGACTGACAATGAGTTTTATTTCCAACACTGTGTCGGTGCTCTTCGTTGCTCCCGGTGCCTCTGAGGTACGCCGTTTACGCTCAGAACCGAAAAACCACGCCAGTATCCTTACGTCAGCTTGTAAAATGCTCTCGCTGCCGAGGGCTTGTGATGGAGTAATTACACGCAGACCTTTTTTGAGTTAAAAGGAGGGAAAATGGAAAATAACGTAGTCACGAATATTTTAATGCGCAACCTCAGACCTTTTTCACAAGCACATTTGGTGCCATATTTCAAAGCTACTGTACATAGAGGAAATGTAGTAATTTCACTTAGCCTTTTCCCCTGTCACATATGGATAGGCTACATGTGGACGGGGAGCAGGGGCTTTGGGTGCTTCTGAAAATTAACCATAGATTGCAGCTTTAACAATATTTAGCATTAATGTGCTCTTTGTTATGCCTTCAACCCCCACCTCTAATGGACACAATGTCCCACAAAGTCTTTTATTTCTTTCTTCCTTCCTTCCTTCTTCGGACTTTGAAAAAGGCATGTTACAGAAGCATTAATAGAATGGAATAGAATATGACATGTAACTTAAAAAGAGACTGTTTTATTTATTTGCATCCTGCTCCTGTGAAATGTAATATTCAGCATGCATGAAGATGAAAAATATAAAGAGACACGCAGAGGAAATCTCGTTTTATGGGGAATACCGAAAGCAGAAAATCGGAAAGGCGCCTCAACTGCAGCAATAATAGACTATAACATGTGAAAAGAAATATGTGAATAAATGATTATGCAGCGATTCTGGTTGAATTGTGTTTTACGGTCCCAGTCACATTGCCTCCGTTTTCAGTTGACGTGTTGGAAAGGTCAGAGCAGACATACCGGACTGAGCAAACCACACACATCAGCAGAATGAACACGGAGCATCAAAAGCACGAATTTAATGCACGGAGAACTCAGACCCTGTGGTATTAAATCATAATTAATTGCACTGAGTAGATCTAGCATGCACTTGGGTGGTAGTAAGCACATTTAAAACGTTTTGTACCTTGTAAGGTGTTACACATTTCATCAGATCACAGCCAGATTTTTAATCTGATTTAATGGGATTTTATGTGATTGACCAACAGAAAGTAGTGCATAAATGTAAGTGACAAATACCTTTTAAAATTCCTACTGTTAAAAGAATAAAATAAATTACATTTTGGGACAAGCATCTACCGTTTTAACAGTAGATGCTTGTCTACCGTCAAATGCTTGTCTACTGATATGTCTGCCAAATATTACTTTAGATATTAATTCAGGGTTTGTCAGATTGAATGGAGAGCATACGTGAATATTCTCACAGTGCTCAACACACATTTTTAGCTGAAAAACATATTTATATTTAGCAAAGAACTCTACATCTGATAGTAAATGGGACAAGCATCTACCAAAAGGTAATAAAACAAAAACATCCATATTACTAAATAAATGGCATGTCGGTCGGCCATGTTTTTATTTTGCAGCACCGGAGAAAAATTTGCGTCAAACGCATTTCACACTACTCAGATTTTTATTTTTGAAGCATTTTTTCAAATAAGTATATCCTTCACCCCCCTTTACTGGGATTTGTGCAAATTCCCAGTAAAACACAGTAAAGGTTGTGGTTGTAGTGTGGCAGAATGTGAACAAGTTTAAAGGGGTTTGCAAAAGTCCGCAACAGGGAGACGCTCAGACCTCTACTTTACCATTTATTATTTAACTCAAAGAGATGATACATCTCTTAGAGAAACATGAACACACTCTTAGTGCTTCTCCTGATGAATTATTGATTTCTAATCTGTTCATATCAGGATATTACACTCTTGGGTAAACTTTTTTTTTTGTTCTCCCCATAAACCCAGCACAAAAACTTTTTCTTTGTGCTTTTCCGCCACCAAAGCTTCCATGCGTTTGAGCAGTATAAATATCCCCGTCTGACGCCCACCACCGTTTCCCAGAGTCTGTGACTCATTCGGCAGGCAGGTGAGTTACTAGATGGGAGCTGATAATTCCAGTAATGAGCGAGGTTACTGAGGGAGCGAACACAAAGGTGTGGGGGCGGCGAACCTTTTAGCGTTATTAAACCTTCAGTCGGCGCACGAGGCGCGTGGTCACATCCTGGGGACGCTCCGGCGGCGGCGAGGGACCAGAGCAAGAGGAACAAAGGTGATGTGGAGGAGTGTTAATAAAATGGAGTGTCGGATATTATGTAAAGTAATGAAAGCGGTGTTTATTTATTCCCTACAAGCAGGGGTGAAAGTAGTTTTAAATTCTTGGGGGTACTATGACAAAAATGGATATATATATATATATATATATATATATATATATATATGGGCTGCACAGTTGGTAGAGCTGTTGCTTTGCAGCAAGAAGGTTCTGGGTTTGATTCCTGGACTGGAGTTTGCATGGAGTTTGCATGTTCTCCCTGTGCATGGTGGGTTCTCTCTGGTTCTCCGGTTTCCTCCCACAGTAAAAAACATGACTGTCAGGTTAATTGGATTCTCTAAATTCTCCCTAGGTGTGAGTGTGTATGTGCATGGTTATTTGTCCTGTCTGTCTCTGTGTTGCCCTGCGACAGACTGGTGACCTGTCCAGGGTGACCTTGCCTCCCGCCTGGAACATTAGCTGGAGAGGCACCAGCACCTCCCGAAGGGGCAAGGGTGTACAAACGATGGATGGATGGATGGATGGATGGATGGATGGATGGATGGATGGATGGATGGATGGATAAAAACTGCTTCTTTGTGTGCTTCGGAGTTTCTGTGCTGATTAAATTTTCGCAAAGCAATAAAAGCTGGGTAGCTCTAGCAAAATAAAACTGTATTTCCTCCCTCAGCCCACTGACTGCAATGCTGACACCTTGAGATGCCATGAGACCTAAATTCTGAGCATCATGGCATGGAGTGCATCCCAGTTTTCCATGTCTGGCATATAACCATTCATTTTATCTTTTAAACTGGTTCTGGTACACAGGATCAATATATTGATCCTGTGTCCAGACAGAGGGATAATCAGTAGCCCAGCAACATGACCTGTTTGTCTAAAGATCCTCCAGCTTCCACTTCTCTTCCTAACATGGCGCCTCCTCATCCTGACTCTCACACTGACAGGAGGAACCACAGAGCTCTGTTAGGTTAAAGCTCATCTTCTGAAGTTGGGATATTTTTCCTCCAACAGGTTCCAAAGGAATCACTTCAAACCAGATGTTGGACTGGATTTTATTTCAATGTCATCTGTGAATGTTAGAGCCTCATTTTCAACAGTGGAGCTATAAAGGTTGAAAAAGGTTATAATTTTGGAGAAAGTCTCATCAACATCAATATTTTCACTAAATAAGAGGCAAAAAAATTGTTTACAGGAAAAACCTCTCTGACTCTGAGCTCAAAGCAAGATGGCAGAGTGCACCAAACTTTATTTTTAAATATCAGACAATTTAATTTTACATAATTATCCCGGTAGAAGTCATTTGTTTGTTAAATACTTAATGAAACATATTTACTGTGTTTGATGTTTGTTGACGTATACTCACAAAGAACGAGGAAATTAGTCCAAGTTTGTCGTTTATTGAGCGTTCAGCAATTACAGCAGCTGTGATGAGCCAAGGCAAAGGTAAACAAAGGTAAAACAACACGAACAGGTGATCAACTCTAATCCTCTCGCACCTTTTTACTCTCTCTCTCTTTCTCTCTCTCTCTCTTAAAGCACACACGTTGCCATGGCAACCGCCTGCGCTCCGCAAGCCGACCAGAGATTATGTTAAAAACATTCAGTCCGTTACATATCAGGTTTGCAGGCTTGATATTTATTTTGCGATCATTAATAAGCCTCTCATGAACCACACAGCGGTGGTTGATTAGTTAATTTTAAACTCCTGCTCTGCTTGTTATTTTGATAATGGAACCGAAACGCTCAGAATTACGCAACAATTTGTTGAAACAATAATCACTGAGATTATTATTGTTGTTGGGTCATTAATTTGAGCACGTTTTGTTGATTTTTTGTTGTTCTATAATAAAGTTACAAACGTTTTGACAAGCCAGTCAGAGGAGGACGTGCTGGTCTCAGCCTCCTGGCGGCGTTCAGTTTGTCACCTGATGCCGAGATCGACTCAAAACCTTCCACGATCGATGTGTTGCACCCCTGATCTAGCAAAGCACAAAGAGTTCAGAAACAATATGAAATGGGGAAAAAAGCTATTTATTAACTGATGAAGTTGTGTTTTAGATTGTTCTTGGAAAAACTAATCAGTCACGGCTGCACAGTAAGCCCATTGAATCTTTACAGCTGGCAGCCGCTCCCCTCTCTTGCAGGTACTGCGTGCCCCCGCTAAATCTTTTAGGGGTGTGCAGTACCCGACCGTACCCCCTTACTTTCACCCCTGCCTACAAGCCACATATACTGACACACAGAAACCCCTGACTGACTCCGTTTGGTACATGAAGCCCAGCCTCCACAATTTAAAGCTCACACACTTGCAAACAAACTGAGCTCAAATGCTGACGCTTTGCTGAGGATGTGACCAGGCCGGTTGCTGTGGCGACAGGAGGGCAGTAATGATGTTAAGCAGCCAAGAGACTACACCAGTGAAGAGCAGAAGCAGCCCTGGACTATATCTCCTGTCGCTCCCTGGTGCCACACAGAGAACATTAAAGTCCACATTGATTTGTGCTGAAAGTTTGACACATGGTGAGCTGGGCTGGGTTCTCTGCTGCAGCTCTGCAGCTACAGAGCAAGTGCAGCTCTGAGTAGTTAGTTCCTGAAGACGCACTTATGATGTGAACATTAAGGAGTGGCTAAATCCTATTTTCCACTGTTGCAGCAGTTTTCTGAGACACTACTTGCTTTTCGACAGGCTGATAAAAACATACCCACAAATGCTTCTCTCAAAAAGTTTCTCTCTTTAATTCCGTGCCAAACTGTCATGATGAGTTTGTTAGCGGACTAAAATGCAGCAAGATGAGGTGGCGAGTAGTCTAGAAGATTTAGTGAAAAAATAATGGACCAAAAAAAAAATAAAAAAATCACAGAGGACCCAGGGAGCCAGAGTAGAACAAAAATCATAAGTCCAATGGGAAAAAAATGAGAATGTCAGGATACTGATGGGGATGTAATGGGATTAAACAAAAGAAAAGGAACCAGAAGGGAGGAAATAGAAGTGAATAAATACCAGGAGTGTGAATGCT